TACCTACACCCGCTTCTTTCCTGTCACCTTCTCTCCCATTCTCTTTCTTCTGGTTCCCTTGAAGAAAATATTTTAAATGCCACCTCCACCTCCTTAGAGCAACTGGCCCTCCCATGTACGTGTATTTTTAACTATGCCACTGTGTCATTGGAGTGTAATTATAACTGCGTCACGGTCACCAGAGTGAAATTTAGAAACCCGCTGCATCTCCAGCTGGCTGTGAAATTTCTTTCAACAGGTGACTTCTGTGCCTTTCCAACTTCGGAGGGCCTCCTTTACGGTTCCTCCCCTTCTACCCCACCCGACCCCAGCCACCCCGTCCTTATCCTGGGCCCCCATTGCCCAGCCCACGGTGGTCTTCTCAACAAATACATGTTGCATTAAGTAATGAATCTGTCAGGAAAGAAGTTCACAGAATTAGCCTTCTCTTGTCCTCTCCTCGTCTGCAAGAGGAGCACCGTTCAGCTCTTCTTCAGGGTATTTTGAAGAGGGTGAGATCTCTAGGATGTCTTGATTTTTCTGAGTTTACCCTTCTATTTGTCCTAATCTGATTTCTCTGAGCTTAGATAGTGCGAATCACATCTCCCTGAGGCAGGAAGATGATCCAGAAGATTCATTGTCTCCTAAATTAAAAGAAGAAAAAAATATTATCTCCCCCCATTCTCTGTCTCCTGCTCCACGACATTTTTTTTTTGATAGAAAAATTCTTTCTTAGGTTTGAAATTTGCTGAGAGATCGTTTTATTTGCCTTTTCTAGGTTTTTCGTAGAGAAATTTCAACTTTCAACTAGTACTAATCAAATATCTTGCAATTTCCTTTGTCAGTTACACCCGATAAAGCTGAAAACGAGATAATAAAGGGAAGAGGCAGACTGCGAGGCTCCCAGGCACAGTCCTGCCGATGCCGGAGAGGCTGCTTCTGACTTGGGTTAAAAGGAGTCTCTCTCCCTAGGGTTGGTTCTTGGAGCTCAGATGTTCGTGGATGTGACCATAGTTTGCTGGCAATTCAGGCTGTGATCTTACGTTTTGATTTCCGAGGAAGTGTTTTAAATGCATGCTCTCTGCTAGCAAAGACGTTTGGTTTCTGTTTTCTTTTGAAATCAAACTGGCTCTTAATATCTGATTGAAAATGAGGTATTCCAGTCATAGGGACTGATAAGAAAGTAAAACATGTAGTTTTTCATAATGTGTCTTGTGTGAAAACCACCTTCGTAAATCAAACCAGCACTGAATTCTCCATCACCACCCTGAGACGCCTGCCCCGTCTCTCCTGCATAATTGAACTGAGGACCCAGACTTTTCCAGGCAGCTTTTACGAAATCAGAAATAAAGTATAGACAAGAAGTCCTGCCCAACCCCCCCAACTCCCACCCCATGAGATGGACCACCCCTCCTGGTGTCCTGGCTGTAACACTGGGCAGAGGAAGACCACCGAGAAAATAGTTTGCGGGGGAGTAAGATCTGTGGGCAGGCATTGGGATGAGGTAAATGGTCCAGGAGGGCTCTGCCCGCGTGGGCAGGTAGATGCTATAGGAGGCGTCGTTTTAGAGGTGACTTGATTGGCGTAGCCAAGTGTATGTGAACACCAGTGAGTGTAAGTATCAAGGCTCATCCTATAGGAAACCACCAGCCTTATCTTCCATCTTTTAGAAGGCAAAACAGTATTTTTAGCAATATTATTGTCTCTGATAGTGAAGACACTGTTTGTGAGTAATACTGCTGGCATCTACTTCTGAAAATACTACATGAAAGCATTCAGAGTTTCTTCTTAGAAAGAAGAGGGAGGATTAGACAACTGAAATAATGCCTGGACTGGGTTTAAAGTTAGCTCCTGAAAGGTCACCTAACATTCCAGGCTGGCCTTATAGCCTACCTTTTGTGGTAAAAGGCCCTGGTGCTCTGTTCCCGCCCACCCAGTTCAGGGCAGAGCTCCTTGGGGCTCCGCTGTCTCTTCTGAAACCCCCCCGCATCAGATTTCTGAAGTCTTCCTGAGATCAAATGCAAGGCAGAAAGGGCAGTTTTAAAAATCGTATTTTATGAGAAAGATTTATGATGTAATATTATGGTATATATGTGGGATGTTGGAGAAAAGGGGGAAAAATTCCATAGTCATAAATCAAGATAAGGCTTTAAAAAACCAAATTACAGTGCCGTAAGATGAACATTCGCTCTCCAGGTCTTGGGACTTGTCTGTCTCAGGAATGACAGCCGGACAGAGAGACATAAGTCTTGAGCTGAAGCAGTTGCACTTTGGGTTGCAGAGAGCTTAAGGCCCCATCAGCCCCACATTCCTCAACCACCCTGTCCTCTTATTTACTCTGAAATGGCCCTGCTTAGGGTTAGCTAGAAGAAGGGGCTGAGTTCTTCTTTCAGAAGGCCGCTCTTAAAGTAACCACAGGCCAGCAATGACTTTGGAGGCCTTTCTGCTGGTCAGTGCAGGCTCTTGTATCAGTTCCCTGCCCCCTCTCTCATCCTTCCCATCTTTCCAGAACTTATCAGTTCCACATCACTGCAGCACTAAGCTCCATCACTAGCTTGTTTCTCTCTGCCCCTCTCCCGGCCCCGAGACAGTCCTGGCTCAGACCCTCCACGCTGTGCCCCTCCCCAGCCCCGGTCTCCCGAGCTGGCCCAGTCCTGGCAGTTGATGGAAAAGTACCATGGGTTCTCCAGACCTGAAGTGGGGTCCTGGAGAGGTATGGCCGTGAGTTCCTTATGCCCTGATGCCTTTATCTGTAGAAAGGGAAAGATGGTGGTCCTCACATCATCTGCCAGGAGGACTAAGACGTAGTGTGTCTCGCCCCCCAGCCTGCTACCCAGTAAGGGTTAAAGGAAAGCACTGCTGAAACTATTAGAATCAGGAGTGCTCTTGAGAATAACACTATGTGGTTTTAAAGTATCGATCAGGCATGGAATTCTGTTGCAAGGCAAATACTAGATCTTTGAGTTTCAGAGTTCACCTTGTAAAAGGAAATCATAGAGAAAGCTGCAGTCCCCTGTTCTGTCTGAAAGGTTAATTCAGTAGTTTGGATGGAGTAACGCTTGCAAGCCAGACTGCTACTGAAAGACAAGCCATTCCTGGTGACAGGTGAAGCTATTACCTAGCATCCGTGAAGAAGAGCATTTGGAAGAGAAAATTAACTTAAAAGACGAATGTAACCATCAATTTTCCGGTAATTTGCAAAGAAAGTTAACCAGGTTGTGTTACCTGGAAGGGGATTCTAGCTTCACTTTGCCTTTTTTGAGAAAAAAAAACAGCTGATTAAAAAGAATACAGGCATCCCTTGCAGTCCAAATCTTTGCTGTCAGAACTCAGAAATCTTTCAAATTCCTCAGTATCTGAGCTCTTGCTGCTTGCCATCCAGAACTCAGACACCATATTCATTTAGATAAAGCAGAGTCCCCCACAAACTTAACTTCTGCATTCTGAACATGTAAACCCAGAATCTGAATCAGTATTCCTCATATGAATGTGGCTCATCCAAAGAAAGCAGTTAGAATATGTTTCAGTGTACCCTTTTTTAGGAAGAAATAGGCCATTTGGAATGAGTTACAGAATAAAAATTACAATGTAATGTTCGCTTCAGGGAGGATTCCAGGTCACAAGCAACAGAAGCTGACTCTGCTGATGCAAGAGCCTGTTCTCAGATGTTAACTGGCTGCAGGAATCCTGGAAACCAGCCGCCCATCCCGCTGCCAGCTAACCTCTGAGCTGGCGCATCACCCAGACATGGTCTGTGAGTGAGCCTTGACCAGAGTCTGTCCCATTGTCACATCTGCAGTGCCTGCTAAATGGAACTGCCCCTGCCTGCGGTGTCAACCGCGTGAGGGGTGCCGCCCCCCACCACTGTCCCTGCCAGCCAGGATCACGGGAACCGAGGAGGGAGAGGACCACTCTATACACTTGCCTCCACTGTCTGCAGCCCCTGATGTTCCCCAGCACGGGTGCAGCTGTAGGATCGGGACCCAGTTAGAAAGAAGGCTGGGCTGCAAGTTCTGGCCTGTCTCCTGGAGATAAGGGTTCACACCGCTGGAAATCCTCCAAGTGCAGGAAGGCCTGGGCAGCCCCAAAATAGGTCAGGGGCCCTCTAGAACAGTGATCAGTATTTGCCAGCTGTAACCCTGCAGTTAGTGGTCACTCAGTTTAGTGGATCAAGGCCCAGATTACTTGCATTCATCTCCTGTTACTTTTTTTTCTTTTTAATGAGATAAAATAGAAGGCAACATATTGTTATATCACATGTAGTAAGTTTCATCCTGTGAAATTTTGGCTTCCCTTTTGTGAAATCTGGTATCTGTGTATCTGAACTGGTCAGAGGTATTTTGTTACCAGAGGTCATGATCAGAGGCCCCAGCATGTTCCCGGCTCCAAGGGTTTGCTCTCCGTGTTCACTCCCCATCTCACTTGTTTTCCAAGCACAGTGTTTCTGTCTTTTATTGTCGGTCTGTTACAGTCCTGTCTGTCACACACACACACACACACACACACAGAGCAAGCACAGTGTTTCTCTCTTTTATTGTCGGTCCATCACAGCCTTGTCTGTCTGACACACACACTATTCCATCTGTCTGTCTGTCTGTCTGTCTCTTTCTCTCTCTCTCTCACACACACACACACAGGATGTCCAGAACAGAGCTGTGAGGTGTCTTGTTAAGATCCAGTAAGTATTATGTGCAGTAAAAGGCTGGTCTAGTGACCTACTCACTGTCATTGTGTCCATGGGAAGTTACCATCTGATTCTGAAGGCAGAGCTTTAAGAAAAAGAAAAAAAAAAAAAAAAGCTCTGTTGCAATCATGCCTGTTACAATTGTGGGGACAGTTGTTACAACGTAGACAAAAGCTTTCAACCTAGACTTTGACCTCCCAGAATTTTCCTAGAGAAAAAGTTTTGACAGTAGAGAGGTTTTTTAACCCCTTATCTCTGTGGAAATCAGCAGCACTGTGTTTATTTTGTTCTTGGTTTGAAGGCAGTCCATTCTAACCTTGTAATGTTATCTTCGCAGGTCCGTTTACGCGGCCTCATCCAGCCTTGTGGAGAATGGTCTTTGGTAAGTTACACATTAGCCGGTTTCAAAATCCATTCTACTCTCCAGACCTTTTTTCCTGTTATGTTAGGGCAGTTTTTCATGCCGCTGCACTGTAAAACTTAATACTTTTTTACTTTTTGCTGTTCTGGTCTCAGTTTGTTATTAAAATGCTTTGCCACAAAAAATAAAGTGCTGGTGACAGTGGAAGTTCTCATACACATGAACTGTTTCAATCCCTCCCACCCCCTCAACCTCCCAACACCCCTGTCCATTAACGCACAGGATCTGACGTGAGGGAATGCGGCTCGTTCTTCCTGACGTTGCTCTTCACTAGTGAAGCTCGCATGCCTGGTGTGAGCGTGTTTGCCTCGTCAGCATCCAGGAGGGACCGAAACCCCAGCAATCTCCCCAGTGTCGCAAATGAGAAAGAACGCAGAAAAGGAGAGTTCTTAGCAAAGAGCCCTGATTTCAACTACGGTTTAGTGATGAGTGTCACATATATGCGTTGGGTCTCTTACAACGTTTACTTGACTTCTAGTCCAAAGAGTAAAACCACCTAAGTGGACTTAAATCTTATCTTCAAAACTCTGGGACTTGGCTTCATCTTACCTAAGTAATCATCCAAAAAAAATTATTCAAGGTTCAGAAAGTGTAATCTTACGCGAAGGGACCCTTAAAATGGAGATTATGCTCAAGTCTGTTTATTTTTCACCCTTCAGAGATCACAAGTGAGTCTCTCTGAATTCAGTGGTGAGCCCCGGTCGTGTGCTCAGCGGGTGTTCACCGAGTCCCAAATGGGTGGCTCCTGTGGTCCTGAGCCTGCAGACGAAGGGGCTGGGGAGGAAGGGCAGCTATAGCAAGCACCCTGGGAAACAAATCAGGAATCTGAGCAGAGCAGATGTCTCCCCTTGGCAGAAAGTTTATTAAAACCACAAGAAGCGACATTGACTAAGTAGCCACTTTCACTTGGGGGTGATGGGAGGCGTGAAGGAAGTGTGCTTAAGCAGAAACCTGCCTGCAAAGAAGGATCCAGGCAAAGATGCCGGGAGACAAGCCAGGCCAGGAGAGGCAGAGCCCGGCACAGATGGGACCACAGAGCTTGGGAAGGGCTTGGGGATGCAACGGGAGAGGTTTTTTTTTTTTTTTTGCAGTTAAGTACATGACTCATTTCCATTTCTTACAAGATAGCTCTGGTTGTATTATACTTACAGCTCATGGGCTTAATATGGCCACTTCAAAGTTGTGAGTCATTTTCAGCTAGATGGCTACATCTAGTTTTTCTAGTTTCGTATGGTTCATTCTAGGTGATGAGCAGTTTTATTTCTTCCTTGGAGTCCTGGAACCCTTTGATAACCTGATGAGAACTATAGACCCTTTCCCAGTATACACACACAGGCACACACAGAGTTTTGCCTATAATATTCAGGCCTTCAAGGAAGGCATTTTAGAAAGCCTGGCGTTGAAGCCCAACTGTGAACTCTCGTTCACGAAGCCTCCTGGTCCACACTTTCTTTGTATCCCAAAATAATTATTTCAAAAGGGTCATAATGAGAAGGTGTAGTGGGAGGTATTTGCAGTGAAAGTCTGTAAAAGTAGCTGGTACATAATAATACCTAGAAGGCTATCCTATGGACTTGTCTAAAAACGCATGCGTCCTGGGCCCTGGGATACACGACTGAGTCAGCCGTGTACTCTCAGCCATCCCCCCGCCCCGAGGACCAGGAGAAGCCTCGTCTGCCAGCCGCTCCGGAGGATTCCATTCCAGCCAGGGACACTCTCTCCTCTGGAGCGGCTCCCTGGGGACCGGTGCCAGCCCACTTTGGATGGGGCGCTGCGGTCCAAGGTCATTTGTATCACAGCATCTAGATGTCCTCCAGAGGCATTTTCTTCCCAGCAGATTCGAAAAGGAGGGAAAGTCACAAAGCCATTGGGGGCTGGTTCTCAAGTCTTCCTAAAATGTCTTTGCAGGCTTTTGTCTTCTTACAGTAGATTATTGACTTTCTTTTTCAAATGACATGGGGCGATTATTAGGCTACCAGTTACGATGTGATCATGCCAACAGGGGTTAATGTGGGGTGTAAGGGGGGAGATGAGCGACCCTGGGCCTCCTCTCACCCCTCAAACTCCAAACCGGGCCATCTGTCAGGCCTTCCTTGCCCGCCTCCAGTCCAGTCTCCATGCAAGTGGCCAGAGTCCATCTCCTGAAGTGTTCCCTAGGTCATTTGATTTTCCTATTTGGATCCCAGCAGGGGCTCCTCCTTTGACTTAAGGTCAAGTCTGCAGTCTTGGCGGTAGCCCTGAGCCCTGGTCATCCCTTCCTAGCGGCCTCACTCCCTTCCCGTCTCCGCCAGCTCCCAGCCATGTGCGGACAGCAGGCCCTCTTTCCAGGAACCCGCCTGCTCGCCTCTGCCTGCCTTCCTCGCCCAAGTGCAGCGTCCTCTTGTCCACCCCCTCCAGCTCTCAATGTCAGCATCCCTGCTCAGAGGGGTTACTCCACCCTTAGGTCTAGATGAGGACGGAGTGTCAAATTCTCATCGAAGGAAAACTGCTGTCACACGAGGGGTCTCCACAGCCCACGTTTCAGCACCGGTGGCTGCTTGGGGCCACAGGCGATCGGAGTTTGCGGTCTGGCCCCGGCTCCCTGCCTGGTCCTGAGGGTGTTTCTTGTTCCTCGCAGGGCTCAGCGTGCTCTACTTCCTGTTCCTGGTGTTCCTTCTCTTCCTGAACTTCGAGCAGGTTAAATCCCTGATGTACTGGCTAGATCCGAACCTTCGCTATGCCACGAGGGAAGCAGACGTCATGGTACGTACTTGTCCGCTGTGTGTTAGAGAAGCTGGTTGACCCCTTGGGTGCAGGAGGTAATGTTGGCTTCACATCTTAAATTGGTCCTACGTAGAAATTTCTCCCATATTTCCTACGTAGATAACCTCGGCACCAGTCTCTGGGTGGGCTGGTGTGGTGCCTGGATCCACGAGTGACCCAGTCCAGGGATGTGAATCCTCTCTTGGCCCTAAGCGGGTGGTGGTAGGAAGAGGTGAATGTTACCATCAGTCATAGATGGGAACTCTGCCCCTGACACTTGTAAGCTGTGGGGCCTTGAGCTGTGGACCTGTAGCCTGTTCCCTCTTCTGTAAAGTGGCATAGTACTTCTCTTGGACGTTTACTGTGACCTAAATGAGGGCCTAACATGGTGCTTTGCACGCTCCTGGTCCTCCAGTGCTGGCAGCTCAGCTCCGTCAGTGTCTCCCACAGCCCCTCTGCCCCCCGATTCCAGCCCTGATGCTCTGATCCTTCCCACCTGCTTGCCATGAAGGGGCCAAGTTGTAATGAGGGAGGCCATTTCATTATTTTATGAAGCCACAATAAATAATTTTGTTCTTGGCCAAAATGACTAGTGTGCTTTGGCCTTTAGTGAAGAGATTACTTTATACTGTGATACTTTTTCAATTTTTAAAAGGCCTGACTTTAGCAGGTTGAAGAAATACCTAGCGACAATCAGAAAAGAAGAACAGCATTTAGGCCATAGATAGGTCCTTGTTTAACAAGCAGGAGTGCGGTACAGAGGAGTTAGCTAAAAATCTAAAAAGTGATCATTCTAGCATAGTCAAGATTGGTCAGGCCCTTCTTGGAATGGTATTTCCAGATTTTGTCTTTAACTTTTATAAAGGACGTGTTAAAGACAAAAATAAGAAAGCCAAAAATTATTTGAAGGTCTCAAGGAGCAAAGTCTGTCTTGAGATTCTTCCTCTAAGGGAAGAGAAAGGTACAGGGTGACTTCCAGCTTCTAATGATGCTGGTCAAAGATCCATCTGGCTCCAAAACCTACCTTCCCTTTAGGACAGCGCCTCAAACATATAGTTACAATATCAAGTGTGTGACGCTCCCAGGTGTCTTGTGAAACAGAGACTAGGAGGATGTCCCAGGTTATAGTTATTACCCGCCACGAGTTTCTTGAGTCAGAATGGTCACATGATGAACTAACATACAGGTAGATTTGCTGGCGTGTCAGGCTTGTTCTCACAGTGGGTGGGGGAGAGTAAATCTCATAACATGTTGACATCCACCTTCTCTAGGAACTTAACATCACAGGGACATCTGATTGTCATGTCAATAATTACAGTCCCCCAAAGAGCTGACACTGGCGGGTAAAATCTAGCTTCCGAGGACTGGCTAATTCTTTCTTGGCAAGCAAAGCTAAGCCACAGGCAGTTTTCAGCTTCTGAGATTCCAGCTGGTGCTAGCCTGGCCTCAGTGCTCTCCATCTCTAGTTCCTCGTCGCTCTTTACTTCCTTAAAGTAAACTTCTACAGTTCTGAGGACTTGTTCCTTGATGGCTCTAGAGAAACGCATTCCTGTTTTAGGACCTGTGGTGAGGAGAAGTGTCTTTATGTAAGACAGAAGCCTGTAGTCCCTGGTTCCCTGGGCCTTCTGCCCTCCCCATTCCTTCAGCCACCACCGGCTCCTAATCCTGATACCAGGCTCTCATCCATGGCAGGTGCCACACGTTGAAATGCAGACACCCCTTCCCCCTGAAAATTAATATTGTAACTTGGGGTTGGGAGGGTGGTCATTGAAATCCTATGAGAGACAGTCTTTTATGTAATTGTCTGAAAAGTTTGCTGTGTTCCTAAATATTTATTCTGTTCAAAAATATATGATCTAAGCTTCAGACAAGCTTTCAAGCCCATCTGATATATAGACTGGTCGTCTGGAGCAGCGGTCTATTGGCTAGTAAACACTCACTGGGCCTTTTCCGTGTGCTGGACACCATGCTGGCGGTAGTGGGGGAAAGACCCCTTCACTCCCTGTCCTCTCGGAGTTTAGAATCTACAAGAAGGCGAATTAAACAAGTTAATTGCTGGCTTTTTTTTCTTAGAGAATTGTTTAAGATAGCTTGGCTAAGTTTTAAAAATTTTATCAGCACATGCCTAATCTTGTTTCATCCCACCCTCTCACTTCCATCTTGGATTATTATCAGACATCAATATCTAAATATATGGATTTTTAAAAATGTAACCACAATGCCATTTTTAGTTGCTTAAAGTTAACAGTATGCAGTGTTCACATCTCTTCCCCAGTTGTCTCATAAAAGTTTCTTTCTTTATTTTTTTAACGGTTGACTTATTTGAATTAGGATCCAGACAAGGTCCCCATGTCGCCTTTGTTGCAGCTCTTGTATCTCTTAATCTGCAGTCCCTCCATGTTTTGGTTTAACATCAGTGTTTGTTTGGAAAGACACTATATTGTCTATTCCATGGAGCATCTCACGTCTGGATTTTGCAGCTTACATTTCCAGGGTATCATTAATGCATCCCCCTGTCTCCCTGTATTTCCTTTAAACTGGAAGTTAGATGTAGAAGCTGGATGGGATCCAGATTCCAGGCTGGTTTCCATTGCAGGGCTGCTTGTAGATGGTGCCATGTATCACACTAAGCCACACAGTGTCTAGGGGTCTTACAATGTTAAGCTTGATCATAGGGTCAGGAGGTCAGCATCAGTTGTAAGATGCACTATCAATTACAAAGGTCCATCTAGTCAAAACTATGGTTTTTCCAGTAGTCATGTATGGATGTGAGAGTTGGACTATAAAGAAAGCTGAGCACTGAAGAATTGATGCTTTTGAACTGTGGTGTTGGAGAAGACTCTTGAAAGTCCCTTGGACTGCAAGGAAATCCAACCAGTCCATCCTAAAGGAGATCAGTCCTAGGTGTTCATTGGAAGGACTGAGGCTGAAGCTGAAACTCCAATACTTTGGCCATCTGATGCAAAGAACAAACTCATTGGAAAAGACCCTGATGGTGGGAAAGATTGAAGGCGGGAGGAGAAGAGGATGATAGAGGATGAGATGGTTGGATGGCATCACTGACTTGACGGACATGAGTTTGAGCAAGCTGCAGGAGTTGGTGATGGACAGGGAGGCCTGGCGTGCTGCAGTCCATGGGGTTGCAAAGAGTCAGACATGACTGAGCAACTGAACTGATAAATCACAGGTATGACTTGGGAGGAGAAAAAGGAGGAGAAAAGCAAAATATGCACCAAACATTGTAATACATTGAAAGTGAAAGTCGCTCAGTCGTGTCTGACTCTTTGGGACCCTGTGGACTATACAGTCCATAGAATTCTCCCAGCCAGAATACTAGCTGTTCCCTTCTCCAGGGGATCTTCCCGACCCAGGGATCGAACCCAGGTTCCTGCATTGCAGGCGGATTCTTTACCAGCTGAGCCACCAGGGAAGCCCAGTAATACTGAAGTGGGTAGCCTATCCCTTTGCCAGGGGTCTTCCTGACCCAGGAATTGAACCAGCATCTCCTGCATTGCAGGTGGATTCTTTACCAGCTGAGCTACTAGGGAAGCCCAATACATTGAAATATCCACCCAGTTTTCAAAATGCTAAATGTGAAAAAGATGTGTCATAGAATCAAGAAAGTGTAATGATTTCAATATGCAGTGCAGTGGGATAAAGAAAAAGATATGGTGCTATTAGAACTTGTCTACTCTGAGAGGTCAAGGAACGCCTCTGTAAGAGCTGATGTTTATTGTTGTTGTTGTTCAATCATGAAGCTGTATCCCACCCTTGCGCCCCCCTGGAATGCAGCACACCAGGCTCCTCGGTTCTGCATCTCCCGGAGTTTGCTCACATCCTTGTCCACTGAGTTGGTGATGCTGTCTAAGCTGACAGGTGGGGATTAGCCAAGCAAAGTGGGAGAATAGGGGGCCAGGCCATTACTCAGGAAGAAGGGTCAGTCTGCATGGAGTCCCCAGCTGGGGACCTGGGGTGAGTCAGGAGTAAAGGAGAGAGGGAATGAGAGGCAGAGGAGGGCCGTTCCTGAGGCTGGGAGATGTGGACAGGAGGTAGGAGTCCTTTGTGACTGTAGTAAGAGACCCGAAACACACACCCCCCCCCAGGCACAAACACACACACAACAGTCTGATTTATAATCTGCAAAATCATTCCATCTGTAGAGAACTGATTATAGAGATGCCTGTTAAAATCTTCGCAGTCTTCAGCTGGAGGTGTGTAGTCAGAGTGTCAGCTATACATTTTATAGTTTTAGAAAGCTATTGCAGTTTTCTAAGCAAGAAATAACAGTGGCATTGAATTGGAAGAAAAACACATCGGGAGGTTAAGTGAACAGGACTTGGTGTTTGGTCTAGTGTTGGGCAGGCAGTGGAGAGGTGGGGCTGTCCAGACCAGCGGCGGGTCGCCTGGGAGGGCGGGCTCCGTGCTCCCCCTGCTCCCTCCTCCCTGCATGGCCCTCGGAGTCCTCACTGCACGCCCCTTCCTCCCGTTTCCAGGGCTGTGCCTGTGTGTGCGGCTCCCCAGCTGCCTTAAACCGCGGCGTCCTGAGTCCCTCCCGCGACCAGGACCTCGACCTCGGGATGTTCCAGATGTGACCACTGGCAAATTTGTTCCTAATGATTATTTGATAATATAATAGTTATACACCAGCAGACACTCTTAGCTCTTTGTGGTGCCTTCAAGGTGCCTTCCTGTTTTTTGAAGCACAGAAATATTGTCCTAGAGAGTCAAAAGGCCTCCAAAGTGGTCTTCAACCTATGATTGCCCTCAGAACAGCCTTCTGAAGGCAGAACTCAGCCCTCTCTTATCCAACCCTCTGCAGCGTGCTGCAGTGTAAATAAGAGGATAGGGCGGCTGTGGAAATGGGAGTTGACCAGGCTGTGAACCCTCCTTAACCTAAGGAGTAACCGCTTTAGGCCGAGGGTGTCTCTGTCGTCTGTGATTCCTGCGACAGGCACCTGCTCCAGAGCCTGGAAAGAGAATTGTCATCCCATGGCAGTGCCATTTGGCTTTTTTTAAGCCTTATCTTGACTTACCCCTACTGATTTTTTTTCCCCCTCTTTTTTTCTAGATTTTCCACTTACACATCATAATACCATATCCAAAAAAAAAAATACAGTTTTTAAAAATGTCCTTTCAGCTTTGCAAATTAGAGTGCATTTGTTCTGAGAAAGCTTCAGAAACCTGAGGCAGTGGGTTTCAGAAGAGAGAGAGGCGCACCCCAGTGCTCTTTTGCTCCTTCAGGGAGTATTGTTTCTTGAATTTGAAAATACTATACTTTACAGGAGCTCCGCCAGCTGCCTGAAATCTTACTCCTTCCTATTTGATTAATCTGGGAAAAGCGAATGGGAAATGTAGAACTCTCTGAGAAATTTTGTCATATGATAACTGCTTTCATACAGTTTAAATACAGAAATAAAAGGAAATTGATTTCAAAGTTTTTTAAACCATATTAAAAAGAAAAAGATATTAGAGACAGAACCTAAATTCTTGAAAGCTTTATAGTGTTTAAATATTTAGATTATGTAATATTATACATTGTTGGGTGGAGGAGTAATTCTGCTTTCTTCTAATTTCTGAAGTTGGATGTCTCAGCTTTTCTTCTTTCCTAATAAAAACATTTAAGGGTGTGTATTTTCCTCTAACTTCTGCTTAATTGTATCTCATCATTTTGATGTGTAATATTTTCATTATCCTTTAATACTGAGTATATTTTAAATTTCTATTATGACTTCTTTTTAACTCCATGATATTTAGAGGTGTTTTTAAATTTCCAAACCTATTGGGTTTCTATTTATTCTTTATATATTAGGATTCTGTGTTTTTGTTACTGACTTTAACACAGTTGCCCTATGGGCAAGCAACGTGGGCTCTGTGATGCCACTTCTTTAAGATGGGTTAGTGAAAGTAAAGTCGCTGAGTTGTGTCTAACTCTTTGCAACCCATGGACTAATGTAGCCCACCTGGCTCCTCCGTCCATGGGATTCTCCAGGCAAGAAGACTGGAGTGTGTTGCCATTTAAGCCTTTGTAAAATGATTTTGTGTCCCACTTTATTTAAGCTTTTGCAATTCGGAACAAAGCAATTCTAGTGTATAAACTCCAATACTTGTCCATTTTTCCTCAAACATCTTCAGTTACTAAAACTTTTTATTGGGTAGGACATATATTAGTTGTCAAGATCACATCAGTTGTTTTCATTTTATCGTCCAGACCCTGAAGCAAGTTGATTTCTAGAGCATTACTAATTATTTCCGTTTTATCTTAAACAGGAGTATGCTGTGAACTGCCATGTCATCACCTGGGAGAGGATTATCAGCCACTTTGATATATTTGCCTTTGGACATTTTTGGGGCTGGGCCATGAAGGCCTTGCTGATCCGAAGTTATGGTCTCTGCTGGACAATCAGTATCACCTGGGAGCTGACTGAGGTAAGAAGGGGGCATGGGCTGCTATCTAGATGCCGTAGCGTGGACAGTTTGTACGTAGGAGGAAGACAGTCCATCAGTTAGCAGTCACGTCATCTGTTCTCCAGCTCCTGTGGTATGAAACTATTTAAATCCCAAGGGATATTTTAAGCCTTTGTCAAACACACAGAGAAGCTCCTTGTCAGCTTCAGGCCTGCTCTATCTCACAAGTCTTAAAGAGAAACAACTGGAATCAAGCTAAAGAATGGAGTTAAAGTCCCGAACAACAGAATTCACTGGTAATGAGGACATCCGCTGAGAAGTTAATAGGTGCTCCACCCACTAACTAGTTTCCAGTTTGAGATAAATAGAATTGTGGTGTTTAGGACCTTATGAGTGCAGCCAGGACGCTTTGTAGCTGAAAATGAATTCCCAGTAGAGCTCAGCTATCTCAGTTATCAAGTTTGTCTCATTTACTGAATTTAAGAGATATATTCTTGAAAAACTATTAGTGAAATGATATTCTGGGAACTGGTTCATTTATTGTTCAGTTATTATATTATTCTTAACCATTCCCAGGGAACAGAATTTGGCTGTGTACACAGTTATTTCTTGATTATCATTATTCTTCAGTGATTGTGCACAGTCCCATCATTGCTGTGATCCTAACTTAGCGAGTGTTCCGGGGCCGTGAAAGTCACTTCTATTGATGTGCCTTTCACGGCCCCGGAGGCCGGAAGCCTGAGTCCAGGGTGTCAGCCAAGTTCACAGCTTCGTATCCTGTCCCGGGCTTCTCCTCTCTGCTTGTGGTTTGCTGGCCGCCCCCGGTGTTTGCTTGTGGTTTGCTGGCCGCCCCCGGTGTTTGCTTGTGGTTTGCTGGCCGCCCCCGGTGTTCCTTGGCTTGTAGATCGCCTCAATCTCCACCTTTGTCCTCATGCGGCCTTCTCCCTATGTGCCTTCACGTGGCATTATTTCTTTGAGGACACTAGTCACATTGGATTAGGGGCCCGCCCTCCTCCAGGATGACCCCGTCTTGCTAATTACATCTCCAGTGACTGCATTTCTAAATAAGCTCACCTTATGAGGCCCTGGAGGTTAGGACGTCCAATGTATGGGTTTTAAGGGGGCCATGATTCAACACGTAACAGTGCCTGCCACTGTTTGTACGTCATCCAGAATCTTCCCCATGACCTGGAAGGGCAGCGAGTATCCCAGTGTAACAGTGGAAACCGGAGCTCAGAGCCAAGAGTGGATCCAGGAGTGCTTGCTTGTGAGCACGCCCGTGTCCCTGCCGCTGTGCCTCACACTCACTCTCTGACTTGCAGGCATCCTCAGGACCTCAGCCCGTGTGACCTGTGCGAGGCGCTCGGCCTTCCTCACCTCCCTGGCCTCCTGACCTTCCCTTTCTTTGTTCCCCGGCATTCTGTCATCCCCACGTCCTGACGCCTCTTCTCTAGACACCTCTCCAGGTCATCCCTCTGCTCCCACTTGTGTCTAATCTACTCTCTTCTTAGCTGACTTTCCTGTCTGCTCTTGCAACACTGTCTATTTCAAAGTGATCCTTACAGACCTCAACCCCATCACGTGCTTCTACTACAAACGCTTCCCTGTTTGTCCATCGCTCTTAAAGCAAAATCAGGACTGGGGTGGGGGGACTCTGAACAGCCTACGAAGGCTGGTGTTAGGGTGCTAGCTGGCCCAGCCTGTCTCCCCAGCCTCGCCGAGACCTCTCTCTGCCCTCTGCTCCAGCCAGCTCTGCTTCCTGCCTGCACAGTTGCTGACCTCCCCCCCAGGAAGCCGTCCTCTGAGTTCTTCCCTCTCTGCCCTGCGTTGTCCGCTGGCTGGGCTGGCGTTGGTGCCCCTGCAAGTAGAGCACCCGGCCCTTCTCTGAAACACTCTGCCCACGTTAGATACGTGACAGGTGTCTCTTTTCTGCTAAATCTCATGCCTCCAGAGGGCAGGGCCTGTGTCTGCCCAGTCCCAGACCCCAGGGCTCTGCCTCACACGGGCAGACGCCCCCAGATCCATAGTGAGTGAGTGAGGTGACTCTTTCCAGCTCCCCCGACTCCTCTCTGGGCTGTCTTACCCCCAAACCCGGTACGATGCCTCCAGATCCATAGTGAGTGAGTGAAGATGACTCTTTCCTGCTCCCCCGACTCCTCTCTTTCTGGGCCGTCTCACCCCCAAACCCGGTACTTTCTAGAAAGGCTCCTCAGGCGGATGTGTGTGTCCACATCCACTCCCCTGCACTCCTGTTTCAGCAGGTCTGTGTCATGGGCTTCTGCAGAAGTTTCTCTCTGCCTCGTGTGAGTTAATGCTCCATGACACGGCTCAGACCTCGGAGTCAGTCCCAGGCGGTGAGCCGCCTGCCAGGGGTCAGCCCACAGCCCCTCGCCCTCACACACAGTAGCTGTTCTGTATCTTCTCAGCAGCAGGCACATCAGGAAGACAGAATCCTTGTATTTGTGTTGTTTTGCAGCCTTTGAAAGGGCTTTCCACATGGCACTAGTGGTAAAGATCCCGCCTGCCAGTGCAGGAGATGTAAGAGATGTGGGTTCGATCCCTGGGTCGGGAAGATGTCCCTCTTGCCTAGAGTCCCACGGACAGAGGAGCTTGATGGGCTACAGTCCATAGCGTCGCCCAGAGTTGGATACAACTGAAGTGACTTGGCACACCTGCGTGCACAGTCTATAAAATGCTTTCATGAATAGTTCTAATTTGTAGCATTTATTTTATTACTTCAGAGGTTTATAATTATGGGGTTGCCTCTTTCCAGAGAGCTGTCAGGCATTTATAATTTCAGACCCTCTTAAAAGCGAGCCTTCACGCAGTACACTGTGCTGCTCTGGACACAGCAAACAGGTCCTTTGTTTTGGACAGAACTATTTCTGTAAAAGACTTCTGTTCCACCCTTGATCTCACTGTACCCTCTTTTCTGGAATATCTTCACTTTCATCTCCATCTCTTTAAATCAATCATTCCTATCCTTAATCACCCCACTCAGGCCTGTCTACCTTCCAGAAATCTGCCATAGTTGCCATCTCTCAAAATAAATCTCTTCAGTGTCCCTGAGGTTCCCATTTATGTCACTACTGTACCACTTGCCACAGCTTACCTGATTCTGGTGTTCTGAATACGTGTCTGGTTCTGAATAAGTCTGGCCCCTGCCCTTGAGATCAAGGACCTTGGTCCATTTTTGTCTCACCACCTTGTATTGCTTCATCGTAGGCACTTAATAAAGGAGTATCACTGCAAATCGGTTAGTGTGAGATTTCCTGTTAAGCTAATTTACAGCTTACTATTTTATTAAAATATCTGTAGACCGTTTCTAAAATACACAGCTTAAATTCTCAAGCTGCTAGTTTCAAGGATTCGGTGCTCTGTAGGCAGTTCAGAAAACTTTGCTCCCTTCCCTCTCCAGAGTCCATGTTATATTGTCATGAACCAAGGTGATTTATTGGTAGTATTTTTCAAGATGGGTCATCATTTCTTTAAAACCCTGTGTTAAAAATAAATTTAAAAAAGGCACTGTTTGGATTAGCAGTATTTTGCAAACTGTCATGAAATAAAAAAAAAGAACCTGGTTACAGAACTTGGTTTTATTTATTTTTTTTAATACATCAGTGAAACCTAAAATGTCAACAAGTTTGAACAAAAGAGTATACTGTTAAAAGGAACGTTATCTTTCAGGATGGTACCCCAGGTTTGTTGTATTTTTCACAACCGTCATCTCTCGTGTTTCCCAGCTTTTCTTCATGCATCTTCTCCCTAATTTTGCCGAGTGCTGGTGGGACCAAGTCATCCTGGACATCCTGCTGTGCAATGGGGGCGGCATCTGGCTGGGCATGGTCGTCTGCCGGTTTCTAGAGATGCGGACTTACCACTGGGCAAGCTTCAAGTGAGTCATCCTCCTCCGGGCCCCGCGTCACCATTTCTCATGATGTGAACTTAACTGCTCAGTAGCCCGCAGCATGAGTGCGTTCTCTGATGACCAGGAGTAAATTATACATCGGTCACTGGAGCTCAAAAATGGTTCTAAAGCCAGTTTCGGGCACTGATCCAGAAAATGCTGAATCATTTACGAGTCTCTCAAATCCATCCCCTCTTTTCTTATCCTTATTCCCCAGCCTGCATTCCGACTCCCATGGCTGGATTGATGACTGCCCTGTCCCCAGGTTAACCCCTCTAAGCCTCCTGCTGCCGTTGCCCAAGAGATGGTCTCAGCACCGTCAGAGCCATCATGTCATTCCCCTGTGATGGTTTCTCATGGGCCTGAGGACAAAGTCCATGGGCTTGGCAATTATAAGTAACCTATTTATTCTGTGTCAAATTAATTTTGGTATATGGTATAAGGGGGAGATTTCACAGTACTGTATCTGATTAACCAGTTTACTCCATCCCTTTCGTGAGTAATCCTTTCTTTGGCTACTGACTTGAAAGGACTTTTTAATATATTTCAAGCAGTATATACTGTAACAAAATCTGTAGCAGCGCTGGATTTTGCTCTCAGCAACCTTCATACACAGTATCTCATTTGAGCATTACATCAACCCTAGGGGTAGACACACCACCATTCTCTTCATTTTAGGGATGATGGTACTATGGTTTCGGTTTGGTAATTTGCCCGAGGACATTCAGCTAGCAAGCTGAGTCTGAATTTGCATCAGGCTGCCTGGCTCCTTAAACACTCCATGATGCTTCCCTAATTTCATATATTTATGCTCAAATTCATCTGAGAATCATTCTGTCAAGTTCCCAAGACATAAGCACAACAAATGAACAAAAAAGTCCCCCTGGTTTCAGGTTACATTAAACATGAAGGAATACAGATCAGGTTGGATTAAACTCTTCACTCCATTAAATATTCAGTTCTCCATCACATCGCATCTTTATCTCCGTCTTTCTCTAACTCTTTCCATGAAGTTTCACTATTTTTTTAGTACAGGCCCTTCCTCGTTCTGGTTGCTTTTTGGAATAGTCTCTGTTTCTTTGTTGGCCTTGTCCCACAAGCCTTCTTGCAGGAGGTTTTCTCACCACAGGCTTGTTGATGGGCGGGGTAAGTGGGTGAAGGAACAAACCTGGGTTCCCTTACTACCCCTCCTACCCCCCTCCCCACTCCAAGAATGAAAGGCCTGGCCTGTTTGTCCTTGTGCCTTCAGCATCTAAAACAGTGTCTAAGACCTGAAGGTCCTCGACATAATGTTTTTGTTGAATTAAAAAATCTTTACCATTAATTAAATACTGCGACCTTGGATTTCGGCTCCCCTGGTCTCCCATAAGAGGATCAGAACCTGCCCCCAGCTCTGAGGCTTAGGAGGGGCGCAGGCATCAGCCGGTCCGGGTCTTGAAGCCTCCATGGTCTCGTTTGTGACCCATGGGACTGTTTGTTTCTATCCTGGGAATATAAAATTTTTAATTGAGTGATACCTAGGATGAAACCTAAGAAAGGTTAAAAAAAGTCACGGTTCATCACCTGAAATTTAACTGAAGCACCTATAGGGCCAGGAGCCGCTATGGGTCACCCCTCATACGGAGCATGCTCTGTGTTTTGCCTTGCGCCCCAGGTTGGGGTGGGGGCGGTGAGCCATGGGTGGGAGTTGCGTCACTGCTGCGTCCTCACCCTTCCTGACCTAGCTCCAAGTTGCTGTCTTCAGTGTCCCTCGGCATCTCTTGTCACCAGCTCACAGACTGTGGCCTGTGATGGCCCTGCTGTGGCCTGGCCTTTGCATCATACCTGTCCTCGCCGAGGCTCCCCACCAGGTGTGACACTCTCAGCGCCTCACCTGTGAACAGAGGCCGCTGTTAGAGAGATGCTCAAATAAGAAGGGATCTTTTGTTCTGCGTACTGGTTGTAAAATAGTCAGTATAGTTGTTTGGTTTTTTTTTCCCTTCCTTATCTCTCTGGATTTTCAGCAGAACTGTTTTCTCCTTTCAGGGACATCCACACCACCACTGGGAAGATCAAAAGAGCCGTGCTCCAGTTCACTCCTGCCAGCTGGACCTATGTGCGGTGGTTTGACCCCAAGTCTTCATTTCAGAGAGTGGCTGGAATATACCTTTTCATGATCATCTGGCAGGTAATTTTTTTCCAGATGCTCAGAAGTAGGAAAAAAAACAAAACCAACATAAAAACCATCCATTGATTTAGGGCTCATGCTAGTTGACATTGCTTATCAGCTCCGTGCATCAAAAGATGTACTGTTCTACAGCTGACATACAGAATAATTCAACAGTGATGCTGTTACACTTCAGGTCCTGCTTCATTGTGAAGATGTTTTAAAATATGGATCTTTGAATTGCAAATTGGAAACAGATTAAAATTCACTGTAAAAACCTGTGCTCAGCATCTATCACCCAGTGAGTTAGGCATTGGATTGCTTTCTATCCATAGAATGGTCTTTTCAGGACCAAAGTAACAAATGTAAGGCTTTTTTTTTATAGTCCAGACTCAAGTGTTTGAGTGTTGAGATGGTACCTCAGCTGTTACCACTGCAGGTAATTGGTGAAGTGCTAAATAAAGAAGCTCCCTGAGGGGCCTGGAGCCCCCTGGGGACCCGGATCCTCTGGAGTGGCATCAGCAGTGGGGAGAAGCCCTCTTTCCAAGCAGACTGAGGTGATGCAGACAGCCTGAGGTCTCAGAAAGAGATTACCAAACAACTCTTTCCCGGAGGCAGCCTTTTTTATTGACCCTCCTGTTCATAGGTTAATTGTTCCACAGCTTTGGGAGAGTAGCTGAGGAAAACTAGTTTTCATCTGAATTGTCTTCCAAAATCTTCCAACATTATACTTTGAACACGTGAACAATATACTCCCAACACAAGGAGAAAATTGGCATGCGTCACTTGAAGACAGTCTTTGTCCACAGGAGAACGATAATACCGATCTCAGTAAATGAGGTTTATGGCTGTGGAAGTCTATGTGGATGAATAGGTATACAGTCACCATGGTTTGGGGAAGTCAGTGGATAAAATGAGCACAGAGGGACGTCCCTGGCAGTCCAGTGGTCGGGACTTCACCTGCCAACAGAGGGGGTTGCAGGTTCAATCCCCGGCCAGGGAGCGAAGATGCCTTATGCCTCGAGGCCAAAAAACTAAAACATAAAAAAAACAGTAGCAATATTGTAACAAATTTAATAAAGACTTTAGTAATGGTCCCCATCAAGAAAACTTTTTAAAAAGGAGTGGGGTTACTTAAGTGAATGACGGTTAAGTTTTCCCTTCTGGGGCAGTGGCAGGGCAGGGAGAGGCTCCCTTTGACTGTGAGGGCCTCAGAAGGATTTGGATTTTCCTAGGATGGCAGAATTCCATGTCCCACTCTCCCCTGGATCATGAGCGCCATGCAGGGATCAGTTTCCTATACGTGGTGATGACGAGTGAACTGTTATTTATTGTATATCCTTAAAACCAGCACTATGATCCTCCAATTAAATAAATTTTAAGAAAAAGCACTGTGGGGAAAGATGCACGTTTTAGTCACTGAAAGGAACCTGCTGGTCCATGTGATGTACGTTTTTCTCTTTTTAATACTTGTGTTTATTTTTGGCTCTCCTGGGTCTCTGTTGCTGCATGGGACTGCTGTCCACTGTGGTGCTCGGGCCTCTCACTGCGGGGCGTCCTCTAGTTGCGGAGCACAGGGTCTAGGCGCACAGACTTCAGTAGTTGCAACACGTGGGCTGAGTGGTCGTGGCGCACAGGCTGAGTTGCCCTGTGGCATGCCGGCTCTTACCGGACTAGGGATCGAACCCGTGTCTCCTGCATTGGCAGGCGGATTCTTATCCACTGTACCAGCAGGGAAGTACTCGTGTGCTCTTAAAGCAGTGACCTTTCCTAATCTCTGCCGCTCACTTCATCTGGAGGGGACAGGAGCGGCCTCTGGGCATGGAGCATGGATTTCCTGATAGACATATTTTGTGCCCCCAGGACGGGTCACCTGATGGTGGCCCTGGGTGCTGCCCTCGAGGGAGCAGTCTCACTGCTGGCTGAAGCCTGGACCAGCCCCCGCACCCACTTTTAAGAGCTTTTCAGCCTTTAGTCAAAGATCTGCTTGGTCCCCAGCACGAGCTGAATGAGCCCATAGTCCTCTCTCAGTCACGCACAGCATCTCAAGCTCCTTTTGGCTATTAAAGAGCCTGCTTCTCTGCTATCAAATGTCTTTTCGACCTTGCCTGATTTCTGTCCAGCAGCGAAGGTGTTCCTCGGCACAGATTTGTTTTCCTGACTTCGCTCTTGAAGCATCTGTCTCCCGACTGTCCCAGCTGCTCACGCATATGAGCCAGGTCACAGTCACGTGAACCTGGAAGCATGACGAATGGCCGATGCCCCCTGCGCCCCTCTCAGCACCTGGCACCTCCCCTGGACCCCTGCTTGGTTGGTCCCCATGTTGTCCTGACTGTACCTGGGCTTAAACAGCAAACTCTTAAGAGACCCGATATATTTTCTGGAAATGATTTGAATATACCAGTTATTATTTACAATGTCCATTGAAGGACTAGATGCTCATGACTTAGCTCGAAGCACCATGTTGACTCACGCCTCCTTCTTTTGCAGCTGACCGAGTTGAATACCTTCTTCCTGAAACATATCTTTGTGTTCCAAGCCAGTCATCCATTAAGCTGGTGTCGAATTCTCTTTATTGGTGGCATCACAGCTCCCACAGTAAGGTAATTCTGTGTTAGCCTGATGGTCATTTGAACATGTTGACCTGCTTTATGTTCTCCTGTGTAGCATAAAGGAAGTCATATAAACTGGCAGATTTTCCATGAGAATGTCATTCTAGACAATCATACTTCCAAGGGAACAAAAAGACTTATACATCCAGAACATGAAGAAAACATTTTGCTTCTCCAACCTCAGTAACAAGAAGACTGACACCACCCCATTACATTCAGACCCCTTTATGATCTTCACTGCTGTTTTTTTTTCCCCTTTGCTCAGTCACCAAGTTGTGTCCAACTCTTTGTGACTCCATGAACTATAGCCCGCCAGGCTCCTCTGTCCATGGGGATTCTCCAGGCAAGAATACTGGAGTGGGTTGCCATTTCCTTCTCCAGGGGGTCTGCCTGACCCAGGGATCCAACCTGTGTCTCCTGCTTTGGCAGGCCGATTCTTTACCACTGAGCCACCTGGGAAGCCCTTTTTCCCCTGTAGCATCCTATTTAAAACAAAAATGAGGAAGAGACATGCTGAGGTTTTCTTCATGAAATTATCAAAAAATACAAACACTTTTATGGTGGACTGAAGTCATAAATGTTGTTATTTTTAGAATGAAACTTTATTAGTTCTTTTAGAGCCAATTAAGTTAACTTCCTTTTTCAAATGTCCTTCCTGTGATCTTCCAGGACAGCAGGGACAAGCTTGGGTGTTCATCTTCCAGGGAAGCTGTCCTTATCCTGGAGTCATGATTCATGTAGGACCCTAGAGATGAGGTGCTGTTCAGAGACTGGAGTCCCCCACACGGACCCATCCCAGTGATCCTCAGAGTGAAACATTTCCATTTGTTTTGTTGTTCCTATTTGGAAAGGATGATTAGGGTTTTATAACTAGTATGGAGGCTCAGCATTGATCAGTAGAAACACCCAGAGTCTCTGCACCACTGATTCAAAGTAAACTTCTTTGGAAACTGTGGGATAATTTAATTATTTTTTAATGTGTGAGCGAACTACATAGGTAGAGGGTCTTATCTGCCAAGGAGAGTGGGTGTTTTCCTTGGTCAGACATAGCCCTCACCCCCAGCTAGCAATTCTTATTGTCCTCATTCATTATTACAAATATATGTTAATGTATACAGGAAGGTGACAGTTGGTACACCGCAGCCCTTTGGCACTTTATGGACCACCGATCTGCTGAGATAGTTATCTCATGAATGCAGTTTTCCTTTTTGTGGATTGGCACCTCCTTATCTTATTTAAAATTTGATTTAATTTGAGGCTACTGTTATTTTCAGGAAAGATTAGCAGCAGTTCCTTCATAAAAATGAGGAGCAATCAACAAATAAGTGGGGAAAGAAATCTCTTAGAAAACAGAACAGCAAATCACATGTGATTTATCATGAAATTTCCTTACTGTTAAACATTTCATAGCAAAAACTAGAGACTCAACCAGAAACTAAAAATCCAGTGTTTGGACTTTTTGAGAGCGCCTTAAAATTTTTGCCAAACTCTATAGGTTTTAAAACGATTCTTTTTTTGTTTAAAAATTAGCCACTTCCTTTGTTCCTACATCACTTGAGGCTAAGGAGATGGTTGGCAAGCTTCTTGGAAAGATGGAAATGCTAATGGATTTTAGGTTCCAATGAGTAAATGCCAGACCCAGAAAGAAGCGAAAACGCAGGCTTCAGTATAAATTATACATACTTACCAGGTCTCTTTTTTGGTTAGACTTTCATATGACTCTGCTTTGAGAAGATAATTTGAGTGACATTCTTTTAATCTAATATAATTGTAGTATCAGGGCTTGGATACAATTAATAAAGTAGCTGAACTGGTAAAAGCAAATTAGGTAATGAAAATGTGAAGTTAGAGGAAAACCTGAATTCTTTACAGCTAGAATTCTTCACTTTGGGGTACAGAGCCGATAGTTCATGGATGAGCTTTAGGCATTCGTGAATCCCCTTAAGTTTAATGCAGAATTTTGTGTGCATGTTTTATGTGATACCTTTATCACAGCTGTCATCAAACCCTCAAAGGGGAGTCTGTAACCCCAGCCCTTACCCCCCTGGTTCAGATGTCACCTCCCCAGGGATGGGTCGAGTTTCAGGGGCAGCTGTAAGACTCCCAGCCTATGTTGTCCTACAGGCAGCCTCTCCCATGTGTGGCTACTGAGCACTGGGAGTGTGGTCAGTCACCTTGAAATATTTCTGAGAGCCAAAATGAATAGATTTCCTGCCTGGTTACAGTCAGCAGCCTTTGTCCTAGAGAGAGCCAGAGGGGACAGAAACAGTGTAGGTGAACTTCTGGGACTGCCTCCATGGAGAGAGACTGAAGCACCCACCTGGGGTGACTTTGGCTCAGGAGTGTGGGAGTCTGCCTCTGAATCAAGACTGCCCCTGCCAATAATCTGGCTCTTTAAACCACCTCCCTCCAACCCAGTCCAAATTCTTAGCCTCTTACAGGAAGGTTTCAGCAGGCACTGGCTTCCTATTCCTTTGAATAGAACTAGACCAGGCAGCTTGAGCATGTGGAACAAGGCAGACAATTTTTATATTCACGCCGTCAGTGATTTAGTTCTGTATTGGCTTGCTGGTCTTCCCGGGGCGCTCAGTGAATTTCACCTTTGTTCTTTCAGACAGTACTACGCTTACCTCACCGACACACAGTGCAAACGCGTGGGAACACAGTGCTGGGTGTTTGGGTGAGTCATCATTTGTTATCATTTGAAGCCGCTTACGTCTGTAAATTTCTTCAGTTCTTTCTTGACCCTACATTAAGTGCCTTTCAGTGCAGTTTTATTTTTGTGTGTCTTTTGCTTTTAACATTCCTTTTCTGATTTAAATTTAGACTAGTTAACTGGCAAGTTATAGAAAGAGGATGTAGAAATTATTTTTTTAAAAGACAGCAGGAAATCAAAAGATATTTTCCACACAGAATTGGAGGCTTGTTTCCTGAAACAAATTAGGAAATGAATTGTTAGAATTCCCTCTGAAATCGATGGTAAGTTTGGGATGTCTTGTGATGGGCTTGACCACACTTCATGTTACTTTCCACCAGAAAAGGTCTGGTTTGATTGTCCCAAAGAAAACTAGCACGTAGCCACATGGTCACAATTTATCATCTTATTATAGATACAAATGCTGTATCTGAATTTATAATTACTTAAATGATTTGAAAGAAAGCATAGGTTATCCAGTTTCATCCCCAGTATTAAACGTGAAATGCTGTTTAATATCTCAGGTAATTGCTTCCTCTGTATAACACCATCCACATCTCACCATGCCATCTAGCAATAGACGTTCCAGAGACATCCAGCATGTCTGTGTGTGAAGTTGTCCCTCCAGGAGCTTAAATTCAGGACCTAATCTAGATTTTAAACTGAGCATAAAGAAAATCTGATGAAAACCACAACTGATTTTTAAACAGAATTTTTTCCCCCATGTAATGCATATTGATAATGTAGAAAAGAATAGACTAAAGATCATCCAAAGACATCAACTGTTTAGAGATACTTGCTGCTTACATTACATTGTCATTCCTTCCAAACATGTATGTGTGTGTGTGTGTGTGTGTGTGTGTGTGTCCAGCTCTCACCCAAATTCTGGAAGGGTTACTCAAGTTTCCCACCGCCTTCTTTTCAAAAGACAAAAGGCCTTTGTCACTGTTTCTCACAAACTCTGTGATGTAAGCTGATTTTCCTATCCAAAGTAGCTTAAAGGGTAATAGGATGGATTCAGTTTCCATTGTTTACTGCTCTGGTGGGAGAGAGAATCTACATTTACCAGACTCCTTACATACTTTTGTCGCAAGAAGGTGGGCTGCCTTCTTACTGTCTTGTCCAAGGACTGGGGATCTTTTCTGCCTTTGAGCTTTTCCTCTGTCCCATGCATCTTCTTTCCACATGCATTTTTCTTTTCACATTTATAAGTCTTGCCACATTTGTATTTCACATTTATAAGTCTTGCCACAGTCTTATTCTACTGTGACTGGAGAACTCTGTCTAGTCACCTGCTGAGGAAAAAGGAAATGGTGGATCAGAGAGACAGGTAGTTCTCCCTAATCTGGTATCTTGAAAGTTTATTCCCTGTGGTGGGAGATATAGCTCTAAGGACCTAGGCCAAAGTGTGGGAGCAAACGCAGAAAGCTGCACCTTGCTGGAAACAAGACTAGGAGCCAATTGTGACTCAGATCAGGAACTCCTTATTGCCAAATTCAGACTTAAATTGAAGAAAGTAGGGAATACCACTAGATCATTCAGTTATGACCTAAATCAAACCCCTTACAATTATACAGTGGAAGTGACAAATGGATTTAAGGGATTAGATCTGATATACAGAGTGCCTGAAGAATATGGACAGAGGTTTGTGATACTGTATAGGAGGCAGTGATCAAGACCATTCCGGAGAAAAAGAAATGCAAAAAGGCAAAATGGTTGTCTGACGAGGCCTTAAAAATAGCTGAGAAAAGAAGAGAAGCTAAAGGCAAAGGAGAAAAGGAAAGATATACCTATTTGAATGCAGAATTCCAAAGAATAGCAAGGAAAGATTAGAAAGCCTTCCTCGGTGATCAATGCAAAGAAATAGAAGAAACAAAAGAATGGGAAAGACTAGAGATCTCTTCAAGATAATTAGAGATACCAAGGGAACATTTCATGCAAAGATGGGCACAATAAAGGATAGAAACAGTATGGACCCAACAGAAACAGAAGATATTAAGAAGAGGTGGCAAAGAGATGGGGAAACAATGGAAACAGTGAGAGTCTTTATTTTGGGGGGCTCCAAAATCACTGCAGAGAGTGACTGAATGAAATAAAAGACACTTGCTCCTTGGAAGAAAAGCTATGACCAACCTAGACAGCATATTAAAAAGCAGAGACATTACTTTCCCAACAAAGGTCCGTCTAGTCAAAGCTATGGTTTTTCCAGTAGTCATGTATGGGTATGAGAGTTGGACTATAAAGAAAGCTGAGCGTCGAAGAATTGATTCTTTTGTTTTCTTTTTGTTGTTTGTTTTTTCCCCATTTATTTTTATTAGTTGGAGGCTAATTACTTTACAATATAGTAGTGGGTTTTGTCATACATTGACATGAATCAGCCATGGATTTACATGTATTCCCCATCCCGATCCCCCCTCCCACCTCCCTTTCTACCCAATCCCTCTGAGTCTTCCCAGTGCACCAGGCCCGAGCACTTGTCTCATGCATCCAGCCTGGGCTGGTGATCTGTTTCACTATAGATAATATACATGTTTCAATGCTCTTCTCTCAAAACATCCCACCCTTGCCTTCTCCCACAGAGTCCAAAAGTCTGTTCTGTACATCTGTCTCTTTTTCTGTTTTGCATATAGGGTTATCATTACCATCTTTCAAAATTCCATATATATGTGTTAGTATACTGTAATGTTCTTTATCTTTCTGGCTTACTTCACTCTGTATAATGGGCTCCAGTTTCATCCATCTCATTAGAACTGATTCAAATGAATTCTTTTTAATGGCTGAGTAATATTCCATGGTGTATATGTACCACAGCTTCCTTATCCATTCGTCTGCTGATGGGCATCTAGGTTGCTTCCATGTCCTGGCTATTATAAACAGTGCTGCGATGAACATTGGGGTGCACGTGTCTCTTTCAGATCTGGTTTCCTCGGTGTGTATGCCCAGAAGTGGGATTGCTGGGTCATGTGGCAGTTCTATTTCCAGTTTTTTAAGAAATCTCCACACTGTTCTCCATAGCGGCTGTACTAGTTTGCATTCCCACCAACAGTGTAAGAGGGTTCCCTTTTCTCCACACCCTCTCCAGCATTTATTGCTTGTAGACTTTTGGATAGCAGCCATCCTGACTGGCATGTAATGGTACCTCATTGTGGTTTTGATTTGCATTTCTCTGGTGATGAGTGATGTTGAGCATCTTTTCATGTGTTTGTTAGCCATCTGTATGTCTTCTTTGGAGAAATGTCTGTTTAGTTCTTTGGCCCATGTTTTGATTGGGTCATTTATTTTTCTGGAATTGAGCTGCAGGAGTTGCTTGTATATTTTTGAGATTAGTCCTTTGTCTGTTGCTTCGTTTGCTATTACTTTCTCCCAATTTGAGGGCTGTCTTTTCACCTTGCTTATAGTTTCCTTTGTTGTGCAAAAGCTTTTAAGTTTCATTAGGTCCCATTTGTTTATTTTTGCTTTTATTTCCAATATTCTGGGAGGTGGGTCATAGAGGATCCTGCTGTGATTTATGTCGGAGAGGGTTTTGCCTATGTTCTCCTCTAGGAGTTTTATAGTTTCTGGTCTTACATTTAGATCTTTAATCCATTTTGAGTTTATTTTTGTTTATGGTGTTAGAAAGTATTCTCGTTTCATTCTTTTACAAGTTTTCCCAGCACCACTTGTTAAAGAGGTTGTCTTTTTTCCATTGTATATCTTTGCCTCCTTTGTCAAAGATAAGGTGTCCATAGGTTCGTGGATTTATCTCTGGGCTTTCTATTCTGTTCCATTGATCTATATTTCTGTCTTTGTGCCAGTACCATACTGTCTTGATGACTGTGGCTTTGTAGTAGAGCCTGAAGTCAGGCAGGTTGATTCCTCCAGTTCCATTCTTCTTTCTTAAGATTACTTTGGCTATTCGAGGTTTTTTGTATTTCCATACAAATTGAGAAATTATTTGTTCTAGTTCTGTGAAAAATACCGTTGGTAGCTTAATAGGAATTGCATTGAATCTATAGATTGCTTTTGGTAGAATAGCCATTTTGACAATATTGATTCTTCCAATCCCTGAACACGGTATGTTTCTCCATCTCTTTGTGTCCTCTTTGATTTCTTTCATCAGTGTTTTATAGTTTTCTATGTATAGGTCTTTTGTTTCTTTAGGTAGATATACTCCTAAGTATTTTATTCTTTTTGTTGCAATGGTGAATGGTATTGTTTCCTTAATTTTTCTTTCTGAATTGATGCTTTTGAACTGTGTTTTTGGAGAAGACTCTTGAGAGTCCCTTGGACTGCAAGGAGATCCAACCAGTCCATCCTAAAGGAAATCAGTCCTGGGTGTTCATTGGAAGGACTGATGTTGAAGCTGAAACTCCAATATTTTGGCCTCCTGATGTGAAGAGGTGACTCTTTGGAAAAGACCCTGATGTTGGGAAAGACTGAAGGCAGGAAAAGGGGATGACAGAGAATGGGATGGTTGGATGACATCACCAACTCGATGGACATAAGTTTGAGTAAGCTCTGGGAGTTGATGATGGACAGGGAAGCCTGGCGTGCTACAGTCAGGAACATCAGGAAAGCATGACTCCATGCTGCACTCATGGAGTCACAAAGAGTTGGACATGACTGAGTGAGTGAACTGAACTGAACATGCTCCTTCACGATAAGGGCGGCAACAAGCACAAAAGGGAGGGAGAGTCCTGGGTTCCATCCAGCCACTGATTGGCCGTCTTACTCAGCCTGGTCAAGATCCGAGATTGAAATTGGCCCTAAGTTGAGGGCAGTACCACGCAGGGGCTGCCCAGGGTGAGATGGTTGGTGTTGCCACAGCTGCCAGGCTTCATAGAGATTCCCACAGTGCCCAGGCCTCTGGCCTCCAGCCCCAGGCCAACAGCAATTTGAGTCCCATAAGGAAGTGATGTTGACCTCACAGGAGGGTGTTACATATCAGGACTCCCTCTAAGGGCCAGCGTTGCTGGGTAAGGGGTCCGTGGATAGCTGGGGTGATGCATCCCCGTTCCTGCTGCTCCCCACATCCTGCATCTCCTCCAGGTCCTTGTCCTTCTCCATGGTCTCCTCACAGCAGTTCTCTTCCAGCTGCCAAAATGAGTCTCCACAAAATGAATCCAGTTCAGCCGTCTGCTGCAATGCCCCCAGGATTCTCAGGTTCCTCAGACTGAAATCTGAGCTCTGGGGTGGCCTTCAAGACCCGTGTCACCTCATGACCTCACGCTGCCCCTTCCCCTCTGTCCTGACCCCTCCCCGACCCAGTCTCTACTCAAAGTCACCTCCGTGGGCAACAGGTTAGCTCAGATTCCTCAGAATGTGGGAACAAGTCATCCTGAAGCTCCTGACTGAAAAACACTGTTCTTTAGAGCAAATTTCAGGTCGTTATGGAGTCAGCCGAGTGAGTCATGACCAGCATTTTTCTGACAATGAAATAGAGTAGGAAAATGTCAGAGCAAGGGGACAGTTGTTTTGTGTGTTTTGAAGCAGGTTGTGGGTGGGGGGGTACAAAATGAAAATTGTGTTTCTTGCCATGGGACTCAGGTCACAGAAGTCTGAGAAACACAGCTCTAACCATCTGGTCACGGAGCTCTCCAAGAGCGCCTCAGTCAGTTGACTAGAAGCCTGTCACAGTAAAGCCCGCTGTTCTGTCTGCTCAAGGCAGGTGGGCAGACTGACTTCCTGTTGCTGTGCCTCAGGCCGTCCCAGCCCGGCTGTGTTGCTTTCTGTGTCTGCCCACAGGTGCCCTTCCCGAAGCTGCTTTGCTGCCCCCTAGTGTCGGAGCTGCCCCCTAGTGTCGGCTGGTGATCTCGACCTCAGGGTGACAGCCGACCTCAGCCCTGCGCCCCCTAGGGCCTCCCATGATGCGGGGCTGAAATGCTGCTTTCTCACAAGGGCTGGGCTTTACTGGGCCGTGTGTGTGTGTGTGTGTGTGTGTGTGTGTGTGTGTGAAATGCTTTCTCACAAGGGCTGGGCTGGGCTTTAGTTTTGTGTGTGTGTGTGTGTGTGTGTGTGTGTGTTCTTTAAAGATTCAGGAATTGTGTGTGTGTGTGTGTGTGTGTGTGTGTGTGTGTGTGTGAAATGCTGCTTTCTCACAAGGGCTGGGCTTTATTGGGCCGTGTGTGTGTGTGTGTGTGTGTGTGTGTGTGTGGTCTTTAAAGATTCAGGCAACCACCCCTAACCCTTGTTCACCGGGGGACGAGACCCCCCAGCCTCTCTGGAGATACACACATACTGCAGACTTTCTGCTTTGGTGGTTCTGACTCCAGGTGTTCAGTTGTTCACAGCTGTCCGCCCATTTGCCCATGGCAGTGACCTCTGTGTCTGCAGTAGAGAGGGGACCTGGGGTCTACCAGGCCCGTTTCTGCCTTTGCAGAGATTATGCCTGTAATAGGACCAGTCCCTGATTGTCTCGGTTCCCTCCTGAGCAAGGAATTCCTACCGTGACTTTGTCAGAAATCGCTATTTCTGGGCAGTCATTGGGATTAACGGATGATCTGTGTTACCTCACCTTCTCAGTTCTTACCTTCAATTTCTGAACCGTAATAAAGATCTGATTCTAATATTCATAAATGAAGTTCTATAATACAAGATTGGCTTTTTTCTTTGATGTTTTAATTCAAGAGTAAAACATGGAAGTTTTTTTAAAACATTTTTTTTATTTAGCAAAATTCCTTATGGATGCAGAGGATACAGGGTTTTTATTGTCAGCAGAACTGGACATATTAAATCTGGAAATTCCTAGATGGCAGGGAGGGAACATGATTGCTGCCTTCAAGTTACTGAAAGCCTCAACTGGAGGCTCACACTCCCCTGTATGACTGTGGAGGGCAGAGTTAGGACTGGGGCTGGAGGAGGCAGATACCCGCCGGAAATGAGGAACAACTTCCCCAAAGTTAAATAGACTGAGAGGGCAGAAGCAGCTGCCCACAGAGGTGGTGGATTTCCTGTCCCTGCCAGGGTCTCAACCAACGGGGTGTCTGTCCTCCTGTCGTGACGGCTCTGACTGAGGTGACATCAGGTGGCCCACGGCTGTGAAAATGTACACATTGAGATTGTGGTCTGTGAGGAAGGAAGATGTGAAAAATAACTCATTTCCAGGGAGGAATTAAGGGATGAATAGGCAGAACACAGTGGGCTTTTAGGGCAGTGAAACCATTCGGTCTGACCCTCTAATGGTAGATGCATGTACACTAAGTCACTTCAGTTGTGCCCAACTCTGCAACTGCAGTCCATGGGATTCTCCAGGCAAGAATACTGGAGTGGATTGCCATGCCCTTCTCCAGGGGATCTTAACCCAAGGACTGAACTTGCGTCTCTTACGTCTCCTGCCTTGGCAAGCAGGTTCTTTACCACTAGCACCACCTGGGAAGCCCAGTGGTGGATACGTTACACTTTGAACATCTATCCAAACCCAGAGAATCTACACCATCAGAGTGAACTCTGAGGTAACCTGTGGACTTTGGGTGACTATGTTCATCATTTATGACAGATGTACTGCTCTGGTGGGGGATATTGATAGTGGGGGAGGCTGTGCATGTGTGAGAGTGGAGAATGGTCGGAAATCTGTACCTTTCCCTCAAGTTTACTATGAACCTGAAAAACTGCTCTGAAAAAAAGAGAGGAGTAACAGTAAAATAGCCTTTTTTATTAAATATATATATATATAAAATACATATAATATATATTGTCTCTAAAGAAAGCACAGTAGACTAGAACACTGTCATTTTGTAGGGGACTTGCTTCCAGTGTTTGGAGCAGAAATCTTTTGACCTGTTGAGCTTTCTGATGGAATTATGCATGTTTCTGGTAATGCGTTATGCTCTGATAAGGTGAGTTTGTTATTCAACCTCTTGCTCTGTGTCACAGGGTCATTGGTTTCCTGGAAGCTATTGTCTGCATAAAATTTGGACAAGACCTCTTCTCTAAGACCCAGATACTCTATGTTGTGCTTTGGCTTCTTTGTGTGGTAAGTCATTACTTTCCTACCTTGGTCTCTACTCCCCATGGTCTCTTCTAAAACAAAACAAGACCCTCTTGTGCACCAAGGTTTCTTAGACATTTATAGGCAAGACATACTACTTGTAGTAGCCCAAGATTGGCCATAGTATGAAGTTCAAGAACAAATACACAGGACCACGTGGCACCCTAAATTGGTCCCCTTTGTAGGTCTGATCACATGCCCCCAGCAAGTGCATTATACTCTCATTTGTTTCACTTGTGAGCATTCGTCTTCATTTGCTGAGAATGTCAGGTTTGCCTTGAGGGGACGATAGTTACCCAAGCCCTGTAATGTGTGTATTACCGTCCAAGGATTTATGTACAAAACGACAGATTCTGGTTTACAGGCCATGTACGGGGAGGGGGTTTGGAGGTAATCAGACCACGAAATTCCCCCCCCCTTTCCCCGGGCCAATGTTATATTTAGGCCACGCCTGTGTTGGGCATGTTTTCCTCTCTGAAGGGAAGAGTCCTGGGGGCCTCCAGCTTCATTGTCCTGGGACTTTTCCCTCATCTCTCAAATGAAACAATATCTTACCTTAAAATTTTTAAAATTTAAAATACTGTGATTGCCCTTCTTAATTTGTTTTGTTACTTTGGAGAAAAGTCTTATTTTACATTTAAGATTCTTCACGTTTACTTACTTGGTCTAGAAAATTAAGTTGGGCTTTTAAAAAATTTTTATTATTAGCACATAAATTTCAAACATGTGGAAGTAGATAAGATCACCCAGATTCAGCAGTTACCCACCAATGGCCAGTCTCGTGTCCTTCTGTTCCACACGTACCATCCCCAGCCCAGCTTACTCCGAAGCAGGCCCACCTTTCCTATTTCAGGATGTCTCTCTAAAAAAAGACATGAATGCTTTTTTGTTTAATGCAGCCACCGTGACATTATCACACCAGAAAAAGAATTCATTCTTTCATACTGTTAAGTCGCTGATCAGTGTTCACATTTCTCATGTTTTCTTCAGGTTTGTATTTTCTGAATTTATTTGAATCAGCATCTACTCATTGCAGTTGGTTTGCATGCCCTTTTTAATCTACATATTTCCCTCCATCTCTAGTGCTCTCTCCTTTGCAGTTTATTTGTTGAAGAAACAAACTCTTTTGTCCTGTAGGTTTTCCCGTCTGGTTTTACTGATGCCATCCTTGCTGTCATTTGCCAGATTTCTTTGTCCTCTATACTTTCTATAAATTGGTAGCTGGATCTAGAGGCTTAATCAGATTCAAGTCTTTTTGTTTTTTCCTTTTGGCAGGACTGAACTTTGTATTTTTAAAGTGTTTTTATTGCCTTTCATGGTGTCTATTTTTAGGATTACTTGTTAGAAATCCTAACTGTGACAGGGAACCTTGAGCCTGTGCTGTTTTATCTTGAACAGTGAAAGGGGAGAAGGATCTCTTGTCCTCAAACTCCAGAATTCATGCTCAGATGTATTTTTTCCATCACAGTGAGACTAGATGTAAGGATTGGTTGGGAGGGAGTGTGTCAGACAGGCCAGGAAATGTTACCCTTTGCTCCTCACGTTTCTCTCTGGCATGGGCACCCCGGCTGTGTGAATTGTAGCGGGTACTCACGGCGGGCAGGGGTGGGCACAGCCCTCACCTGGCACCAACGGGACCACAGGCAGGTTAGAGCAGGCAAGGCTCCTGAGATGTGGGCAGAAGGTGCTTCTTATCAGAGCCTATTGCAGGCCTCCCCTGGGGGGGCATCAATAGCCAGAAGAGTCTCCCCACGGTCGGCCGAGTCCAAGGAGCTGTCTCTGGTCACCCAGCTGGCCGGGCCCCTTCAGTCTCTAAGTTTTAGAGACTTTCACTCTGTTTTACTGATTAGACACTTAGCATCCGCCCCCTTAAGTTGGTGAATTTTGATGCACCTTGGTGTCTATGCAATGGTAACTTTATCGAGGACACGACCCGTTTCTCAGTCTCTCCATCCCTTAGCGTGGCCCCTTGTAAGTCCATCATGTGGCCAAGTGCTCATCAGAGCTGCCCTGATGTGGAGCTGCACAGGTAGGTGAAGGCAGAGATGAGATTTATCCATGCTTACCCTGCGCCAGGCGCTGCTCCAAGCACTTTTCACACATTGCATATTTGAGCTTCACACTTTGAGGGCAAGTACTCTATTATCCCCTTTCCCAGATAAAGGCACAGAGAGGTCCCCCTAACTTACCTAAGGTCACACAGGTCGTCCATGGCAGAGCCAGGGCTCAAAGCCAGAGAGTCTGGCTAGAGAATTCCTGCTCCCCCTCCACGGGTCCCCCGCGGAGGCAGTTACCTCTGCCCACTACTGATGCTCAGACATCATCTCGGTGTGTGCGCGCAGAGCCGGAGGAGCTCTGGAGAGAGCAGCCGACAAGCTGGGGTGCAGCTCAGGCGGTCCCGTGTGCTCGGGGTCACCGAGGATCTCCCATCTCTCCGGTGCCCAGCCTAAGCCCCGAGGCGAGGCGGCCGCCGCCTCCCGACATCACCCCTCGAATCAGCCGTCAGGCTCCCTGCCATGTGACCCACCCAGCTCCACCCCGTCCTCTCCCATCTTCTCCATCCTGCCCTTCGGATCCGTCCTCCACTCTGCTGCCAAAGGGGTCTTCCAGAATTCAGGTCGGAATCCCTTCCTCCCCGCTTAGAAGCCCCAAGAGAACAGTATTTCCCCCCGACCACCAGGTTCAGAGCAGTTAGGAGACAGGCAGGAAGAACGAGGGCTGTGGAGTCAGAAGCAGCCGCTTCATGACCGAGCGCCCATGTTCTCAGTATCCGCAGCTGATGCCAACGACAGCCTTCCAATCGTGAGCCCCAGGAGCAGACGCACTTTCCTCTCCAGCCTCAGAAAAGCCGGCTTCCCTGCGCTGAGAAAGGATATGGCCCGCTTGCTCATCCCTGTTCCCCAGTCAGTTAAGACACACCGCCCCCTGGGGAAGGGGCGAGGAGTGAGGGAAAGCCGCAGGGTTACCCCGGGAGCGCTCCCTCTGGGGACAGAAACGGCGGAAGGAAGACGGGTCCCCAGCGCCCACCCAGAAGCGGAAATACGAAGTCGTGCCCGCGTGTTCGGGGCCTCACTCTGGGCGGTTCACACGCCCAGCCCTGCAGTACCCCGTCCTCAGGCTCCTCCAGACTGTTCCCGGTTACTGAACACCTCAGTGCATCGTCCTTCCTGACCTGTCCTGCCTGCACCCGAGAGGTTTCCTCTGTCCACGCTGAGCGCTTTGCCCTGCTTTTTCCTCCACCTGGTGAACCTTAATGCCAAGGCCAGCCTTCCATCTGCGCCCCGCGTGCAATACACTCCAGCCTGCAAGGCAGACGAGAGGACTCCCTCCTCGGGGGGAACCGTCCCATTCCGTACATACTTCCTCAAGCTCTGGCCCCAGCGTGACGTTTTCTGTGGTGGTTTATGTCGGTCTCCTCAACCTGGCACTTCCTGCTGCTCACAGAGCTCCATCGTCCTTCAGTCCCACGGACGCTGAGGCACAAGAAACACTCATCCAATGCGGGGAGACGAAGGGGGTGAGGTCCAGAGACGGAGACCAGGGGGCCCAGACATATTTGACGAGACAGGCAGGAGTGAAGACTCGAAGTGCCCCCGCGCCGGCATCACAGGAAGATGGCGGCCCGTCTGGGGAGCGAGGGCGAGAGCAAGGCGGAGGAGGAGGGGGTCGGACGTGTCTCAGGACCGGCTCTGTGTGTCGCTGGGAATTCAGAGGTTTTTTTTCCAGTGGAAAGACTGCCTCACGGAGCAGCTGGAGGCCGGGAGAGCGTGCAAGGGAGGGGACGGAGGAGGGCTGAGCTGGAGGGTGTCGCTGGGAGCTCAGTGAGGACCTGTCCCAGGCAGTGGCATTGAAGGTGCAGCGAAAAGGGCGGCAGAAACCCGGCCCAGCAGGCGTCCCCTCGGCAGCGCTGGGGAGGGCCGCTCGGCTTTCCTCTTTGGGCCACTGGTGGCTTCCGGTACTGGTGACTGCTTGAGGGGTATCCGAGAAGGGCGTTGAAAGGAGGTGTGTTAAGGTGTGAAGGACCCTTAGATTTTACAGGTGAGGGTGGCTTGTGTCGTTGGAAATTCTGGCCTGTCCAGGAGCTCTGGAAAGACTCGGTCAGCGGTGGAGACGCAGGAGTCGGGAGGCGTCCACGCCTGGGGTATGGTAGGAGTCATTGGCTTAGTAAGAGTTGGGCGCCATAGTGAGGGGAGGAGAGGCTGGCTGAGGATGGGGACCGGAGAGCAGTCACATTTTAGAAGCTGGGCTGGGGACGGAAACAGCCACAGCAAAGAAGACTTTTCAGATAAGCCAAATCCCCCTGTTAGTGCTCTCAGTGAGGAGTGCCATGGAAAGGGAGCTGGCCTGAAGAGAGGCCTTTGGCTGGGATGATTAGGGGTCCCCACGGCCTTGCACATTTATCAGAGATAAAGAGTGGAAATAAAGTGGGTTTAATAAATAGTAAAAAAAAAAAAAATGTGTGTGCCCGGCACATTTTTATAATCATGGTTTTTAATTGAAGATCAAGATTGGTCTCAGTCTTAGGAGGGAGGCAAACATTTTTCAGTAAAAGAACACTGAGTTTATGCCATGTCTCCACTCTGAGAAACAAAGCCCCCAATTATTCGCCTTGATTGGGAAGAGAGTATACACAGAATTTGTGATTAATGTAGAAATAAAGGCCCCGTATGCTGGTTGATAAGCTGCCGCAGCACCAGTTGTCTAATAAGTCTGGGTGGATTTGAATGCTGGTAACCATAATATGGAAGCCACACCTGGGTCTGTGTGCTGCCTTGGCTCTCAGCCCTCACGTTTTTTCTTTTTTTTTCCTTCTCTATCTTTAAACAAAATCTGCACAATTGCAATTTAAATGCCAGGCCTTGACATTTTAAGTGGGTACTTGCCTAGATTTCCAGAGGTGTGATTGCAAACCCATAAATAAGTTTTTGTCTCCTGGGACAAGTGTGAAAAGGGGCCCCTTGTACCCAGGTGAAGTGGTAAATTTGGCCACCACAGCAGGTCCTTTGCATGGCGATCGTGATAATAAGCATCTACCATGCAGCACCTGCCAGTGTTTGCCTGCCCCTCCTGCAAAGCAAGGTCTGCCCAGCTGCCTGCTCTTGGAGCAGCCCCAAACTGCCAGTCTGCCCTCCCAGGGCAGGAGAGAAAGCTGAAGAGGAGTCCCACACGCCTGCCCTCTGGTGGGCGAGATGCGCAATGACGACCCCCGCCACACAGTCATCCTCTGGTCCCTGAAGGTGGAACCCTGCCCCTCTCCCCTCCTTATGCAACCTAAGCTGTCTTGCTTTCTCCGTCAAGGAGCTGACATACGTAGTTTTACGTGCTGCAGATCCCCTAGTCTTCCCACTCTTGCCATGCCATGAAAACGGTACATTTAAAAATCTGAATAAGTACTGGACTGTGTTAAAGATTAGAAGTCGTTTTTTCATTTTATAATTTTAGTATATTCATTCATGGCTTAACTTTTTGATGGGGAGATATGAGCTTTCTTAAATAAAAAAACACCCTGCTATACACCAGTTTCAATAGGATTTAATTTTAAAAAATGAACTAGTGGGTCTTCTTTTATTTCATGTTATCTCTCTGCCATTCCTCTGTTCCCACTTCACTGGCATGGAAGGGCCACGGGAGCACTCAGACTCCTTTCTTTTTTGACCCGTAAGGTGACTCCGTGCACCCAGCAGACACTCCGTGAATGTCGCTGACCGGGAGGAACTGGACCCGGGCTAGGCTGCAGGTCGCCCCTGACAAGAAGGTGCAGCCCCATGTCCCCTGCAGTCTAGGCTCCGCCCTCTGGACTGTGGGCTGGGCACACTGGCTCCTCCCATGATGTCTTTCTTCCCCTGGGAATGGATAAATGGACAGATAAATAATGGATAGTGCTCTAAAGACATGTAAACCTGAAATTAGCGTTTCTTTTGATAGACACCCCTAAAATTTGATCCAGGTATGTAAAGAAACCTGTGTTTTGGTTTCAGTCTTGCCACCCTCTAGCTATGTGTCTTTAAGAAGGTCATTCGCCTCTCTGAGCTTTATTCCTCTGCTGTGAGATGAGGATTGAGATTAACATCTCTAGATTTAAAGTTATGACTCTTAGAAAGAACTGAAATTATTCAAGAAGAGACAATTACAGCATTTCACAACTATTTCCATGATTGAGTCAAGGGGTCAGGTCCCAGCAGGAAACAAAATGGAAGAGATGGAGGTTAGACCCTGAGGAGGATGTTCTGTCAGTGGGGTCCCAAAGTAAGGAATTCTGAAGAAACAGAACAGCAGAAGTGCTAAGGAATTGATGCTTTCAAACTGTGGTGCTGGAGAAGACTCTTAAGAGTCCCCTGGACAGCAAGAGATCCAACTAGTGTATCCTAAAGGAAACCAGTCCTGAATGTTCATTGGAAGGACTGATGATGAAGCTGAAACTCCAATACTTTGGCCAACTGATGCGAAGAGCTGCCTCATTGGAAAAGACCCTGATGCTGGGAATGATTGAAGGCAGGAGGAGAAGGGGACGACAGAGGATGAGATGGTTGGATAGCATCACCGACTCAATGGACATGAGTTTGAGTAAGCTCCAGAAGATGGTGAAGGACAGGGAAGCCTGGCGTGTTGCAGTCCATGGGGTCACATAGAGTTGGACACGACTGAGGACTGAACACCACATAACAGCAGAACAGACAGTTGTTTGCTTGGTTTTGGCGACTCCCTCACAGTCACGAGGGGAAACTGAGGCCTAGCTAGGGGGCCTTTCCTGTCCTGTCACATGGTGTAGTCCAGGCAGCCAGGAACTTCCCCCAACTTTCAGTTTTTTGACACATTTTAAAACTCTAGATTTTTAGGTGCTATTTTTTCCCTTAAATTAGAGCATAATTTAGGGTGTAGGGGGGCTGGTGGGGCTTACCAGGGGGGAAGTGGAGGTGATCCCAGCCTCTGGGTAACCATGGACCATGCCTGTGTCTTTTCACACAATCTCGGAAGACAACTTGATTTTCTGTCTATTTTCCTATCTACCTAACAGAAAAACGGAAGCAGCCAGAACTGGGATCGTGGTGGGGCTGCTGAGACTAAACAGCAGTGCCACTCCTAGGGCAGTGGTGTCCTGCTGGGCCCTGCCACCTCCACATGGACGTGTGTCCTCAGGGCCCTCTGGTACCACTGTGTCCCCAGATGGAAGAAAACTGCTTTTTCATTCAGAATCCTTTTCCTGGGCTTCCCTGGAGTTCCAGTGGTTAAGAATTCACCTGGCAACGCAGCGGACACTGGTCCTATCCTGGTCGGGTGCAGATCCCAGCTGCAGTGGGGCAGTCAGCCCCTGCGCCCCAACTCCGGAGCCCACGTGCCCTAGAGCTCATGCTCTACAACAAGAGAAGCCACCATAATGAGAAGCCTGCAGGCCGCAAGGGAGAGGGGCCCCTGCTGGGCACAACTAGAGAAAGTCTGCATGCAGTGAGGAAGGCCCAGCGGAACCAAAAAATAAATATATATATATAAAAAGTCCTGTTCCCCTCAGAAGGTAACCAGCTAAGTCCTCTTAACTGACTCCAGTGATGGGGGGCAGGGTCCAGAGGACGGACTATGAGAATCAGACCCAAAAAAGAGGTACAAGATAGAGGCCTATACGTGCTAAGTCTTAGCCGGAAGCTGCAGAGCTGCTCAGAAAATGCACCTACCTGATCCCACACTTGGAAGAGATCTTCATTCTGACAGGCAGACTCACAGTGATAACCACGGAAAGTGAAGTTGCTCAGTCATGTCAGACTCTTTGGGACCCCGTGGACTATACAGTCCATGGGATTCTCCAGGCCAGAATACTGGAGTGGGTAGCCTTTCCCTTCTCCGGGGGATCTTTCCAACCCAGGGATCCAACCCAGGTCTCCCACATTGCAGGCCGATTCTTCACTTTACCAGCTGAGCTATCAGGGAAGCCCAGCCAACCACGGAGACACTGGTAACCGAGGTCTCCTCCCAGCTCCTCTCTCAGAAAGCCCTAGCGGTCTTCCCTGCTGCCTCCCGGGGTCGTCGCTGCCGCACCCAGCCGTGCTGTACCGTTGTCAGGGGCAGGAGGCAGGAACTCCTTGAGACGTCATGTGCGAATTCCCATCGAACTCCTGAAGTTCAGGAAAACGGAATTTTTGGTTGCACCCTCACTCTAAAACCGTTTTGTGCTTGTTTTTCTCTTCCAGGCTTTCACCACCTTCCTGTGCCTGTACGGCATGGTTTGGTACGCAGAGCACTACGGTCACCGAGAAAAGGTACGGAAGGGAAGGCAGAGATGGCCTTTTGTGTCTGATCACTCCCAGCCTGGCACTGTAGCCCGGAGCACAGTCACGGAGGATGGGGCGTGGCCGGCAGAGCATGGGCGGGGCGTCATCTCCCCGTCCCGCCCCCACCCCACCCCACCCCATCCCGCCCCCCAGAAACCCAGCCAGTTCAGAATTCACTTCCTGTAATTGCCATCCTTGCTTGTGACCGCCCTGTTCAATAGGTCCTGTACTCTTATCCTCATTTCTTAAGAGGGTTAAAACTTAAAATTATTTGTTAATTTTTTTGCTTGTTTTTAATTGCGGGGCAAGCCCTGGACCAGTTTTTGCAAAGCTGGGTCTTTCACCCTGTGCAGGCCTCCTCCTGCGTCCCAGCCTGGGGCTCCCCTGCTGAGCGCTGGCCCTGCTCACTTAGTAGTGCGTGCATGTGTGCGGGCATGCTCAGCCACTCGGTCGTGTCCTACTCTCTGAGACCCCATGGACTGTAGCCCGCCAGGCTCCTCTGTGGGATTTCGCAGGCAAGAGTGCTGGAGGGGGTTGCCATTTTAGTCCTCCACGGGATCTTCCTGAGCCAGGGACTGAACCCGAGTCTCCAGTGCTTCCCGCCTTAGCAAGCAGATTCTTTACCACTGAACCACCTGGGGAGCCCTCCTTTCCTAGTAGAGGAAGATTAAGGTAGAGGATTGATGTGAGTGGGCTTAAAATGCTATAGCAGCCTCGTCAACTGGGATCTTTTTTTTTTAAGTGAAAATAGCTTTCATCCTCTATTTATCCTTTTAGTCTTAAGGAGCTAAAGGCACTTTCTAGAAGATCTGTTCTGTATCACTTGGGAGTCTTCTTGCTCTTAGAGCTGACAGCCTGAGTACCAGGCGGTCCTGCCCTTGCTGATGGGGTCCCTAGCCCAGGAGAGGCCGGGGTGGAGCACCCTTCCTTGTTTGCTGGCTCCCTCCTCCTGGGAGCACTCCATCCCACCACTAAGCCTGCCTCTCTCCCTAGACCTACTCAGAATGTGAAGATGGCACCTACAGTCCAGACATCTCCTGGCCTCACGGGAAAGGTTCAAAAGGTATTTATCTCCCTCTTTCTCTTCGCTAAAAGCTCCCCTAGGTCCTCTTCCCTCCCAAAGCCCAAGTAAAGGGATTTCGAATCAGAATTTATCCTCTGAATATTGATAAATATTTGCCCTAAATGGTCTCCAACCTACTCACTTGCATGTCTCTCACTTATTAAGAAACAAGCAAAAAAAAAAAAAAAAGAAATAAGCAAAGTGCTCACAGGTTCTGCCCAAGAAACTTGGCTTCATAAGAAGCGGTGCCGTGTGGTTCTGCCTCTTCTGAGATAGAAGGACAGAGCAAGACCCCACTGTCTCAGCCATCCTGATGAGGATGTTCCTCCTCTTGGCTTTCATTGTGAGTGAGAGGGGTTAGGAAGAGTTGTGTGCCAGGAGAGAAGCCTTTCAAAAAAGAGGCGGATCACCTTGATCGCGTTGATTCAAGAGACGGACCATCATCAGAGGAATTTCAGCAATGTAGTCAGGGATCTCCCACTGGCCTCTCCCCAAGGAGCATTCTGGAAAGATTCGGGGCCACCTGGTTGTTTTTAAAGAATTTGGCTTGTAGAAAAATGACCCCGAGGAGGCTCCACTGGACAGTACTTCCTCTTCAGTTATGAACTGATCATGGGACTTGACTAAAAGGAAAGAAGTGAACACCAGAGACCTTGAATGTCAATCCTAAGACTGGCTCAGCAAAGCCGGGGTGAGGGAGGGACAGCTCTGCTGAGTCGCTCTCCTGAGTTCTTCAGGGTGAAGCTCAGCACAGCACAGCTCACCCTGGGAAAACGCTGCGGAGTGCTGGTCACCCTGCTGGAGGTGGTTTCTCCTGAATCCGCCAACTACTGTAGAATGCGGATGGAGGTGGGCACAGGGTTTCTCCCCAGGGCTCCCTTATTCAGAACCAACCCCCCTGCCCAGAGATCAGTCCATGGCACTTCTAGGATCTCCAGTGACAAGACCACAAGATATAAGCAATGGTACAGATATATTTAAATGAAAGGTAGGCTGACCTTTTAAAAATCAAAATAAACAAAACCTGAGCCCTGGAGCAGAGAATCTTGGCTCTGCTGCTAGGCCAGAGGTTGTCCACATGCCCAACTCTGGGGCAGAGCCAGCCTCCTGCCAGGAAGTTCCGATGACCTTCCAGACCTTACACACCCCCTGCCCGGAATGCCCCAGCTCCACTGTCCAGCTGGCTGATAACCTGCTGATTGCTCAGCACTCAGCCCATGTAGACACCTTTCTCTGAGCTCCCATGCGATGGAGCATGACAAAGGATGCCGGCCCTGTAGACCCTGAGCCTCTCAAGGGCCCGCGCGTCTTCCCGGGTGACTCCCGTCTGCCCGTCCTGAGTAGCGGGGGACGTCCAAGTCAGACCCCTGACCCGTCCTAAGTAGCAGGGGAGCTCCAGGTCAGACCCCTGAAGTCGTGTAATAGCTTTCATTTCTATCAAGTCAAGAATTCATTACAGTTTCGGGATTTAGAAACAACCCCGACCAAGGTGGGGGAAACGCCACTGATGCGTCCTTTGGTTGCAAAGGTAGACTCAACACCCACATGGTCTAAGTTTTCACGGGCTCTCCTCTGTGATTTGATGTGATCTGTGCCCTCACTTCTAGCCCCCATCCCCATGGACCACAATCCACCCTGCGGGGAGTATAAAACATCCTCAGGACACCCAGGCCTTAGCTGTGCTAGTTAGCCGAGGGCCGGGGCTTCTATCCGTCAAGTCAGTCAGTTCAGTCGCTCAGTTGTGTATGACTCTGCGACCCCACGGACTGCAGCAGGCCAGGCCTCCCTGTCTATCACCAACGCCCCGAGTTGGTTCAAACTCCACTGGTTCGTCTATGCGTTGGTTTATTAGCAAGGCCACTAGATGGCGCCGGAGGATCAGTGGAGGAGCAGCGGGCCGCCGGGTTAGGGAGAGCCAGGGCAGAGGGGCAGAGCCTGGGCCCCGCAGCCCGCAATGATGCTGACCGTGTGTCCCGAATCCTCTTGACCAGGTTCTGAAGACGGCCCCACCAAGCATCCAGGCAACAACGAGAGCCATTCTTCCAGAAGAAGGAATCGACATTCCAAGTCAAAAGTCACCAACGGAGTGGGAAAGAAATGAAAAGACCCTGATTCATAATAATCCAAGATGTTTCCAGGGAGTGCCTAGAACTGGGAGGGGACGGAATCGGCTGGTCTTGCCGGGAGGAGGGAGGTCGAAAGGCACAGAGTGATTGGGAAGGAACGGGGGCTGGAGGGGGTGGGGTCGTTATTTGAGAGCGTGGGTCTTGTTTCCCACAGACCCGGCCCGCGGGGCAGATGATTGTGGGAGGGGGTCGGGCCTTCGCCCCTCGGGGGGTCCCTGGTATCTTCAGCACTTGGCCACCGGTAGCACGACGGTGCTCGGAGGAGGAGACGGTAGCTCTACTCAATTGCCGGAGCAGCTTTGTGCTTCCCGTGTTGTGGGTGTGGTTTAAACATTTTCGCTAAGACAGGGCATCCCACCGGGACAGTTGATGGACAGGTCACCACCGTTTTCTTTCTCTGAATCTGCCCTTCCACTTTTCTGTGTTTTATTTCGTTACTGCTTGTTTTTTAAGTCGGGATGCTTAATATAAGCCTTCAGAAGCCATTGCTGAAGTTGAATTGGAGGAGAGCTCCCCTCTCTCCCAGAGGAAAAAAAGTGGGGAGCGTTGGTGTTACATTTAGCAACCTTCTCCCCCTTTTAGGACGTGAAACCACATGTGGCAGGTAGAAACCAGGCTACGGAAAGGTTAGCTCCCCACATAGGATCCTGGGCGTTAGACCAGAATGTTCCCGTTCCCTCTCCAGTGTCCAGACTTAGCCACAGTGCACAGGTGGGAACCTGCCTGAAGGCAGCGCTCGCTGCGACCCCTCCTCCAGCCAGGTGCCTTTTCCATTTTATTTGTTTTCTTTCATGGTGTGTTGCTGACATTGTCTTTTAGTCCCATGTGAGGTGCTGGTGAGTATTCCCTTTCATCCGTGCCATGCTCTAGACCATTGACCCTGATAGTTCACCACCTCTGATGGATCCCTGTTTTAAATAAAATGGTTCGCGTTAAAACCCATCAAATTCGGCCTCGTTAAGTGCTCATTTCTTTGCATCTTACTGGTACTTTTCACTGTTTGTAAGCGATCACTATGTTTTTCAAGTGGCTTTAGGATACTGTGAATATGTTTGTGTTTTATGTAGTGAGAAGAAAAGAGAAAAAAATATATATTTTAGAGGGCTTGCAGACACATATGTTCCTTTTTCTAAACTTCCCAAGTGATCAATAGGAAATGAACAAGATAGTCATTGTTGTCTTTTGTGTGTGCGCGCTATGGGAATGGTTACATCAGCCAAGTTGGATTGATTTTTCTAGCAAGTGACCAGTACCCAGTTGATTTTCTCATAAACTCGCTAAAACCAATCGCTTTGTTCCCTCCTTTCATAGAGCGCAAAGGTTTCGATGTCTTTCCCCCTTTAAGGAAATCTTTAACCATAGCCGTCATGTTTTTCTTTTTCCGCAAAGAATTCCAGGGTGGAGGGGTTAAATGAATCATGCAAAGCTCAGGTCACTTCCTGTGCCCTGGGCCTCTGGCAGCCACTCAGTTGAGAGCCCACACAGACTTACTCCGGAGAAGTGTCGCCAGCCACTGGGCTGGTGTGGGGGGCTGCAGGAGTTGCTGTGTCGGCCGCAGCTCTGAGCGGGCACGTACTCTCCTAACAGTGGCCCCATCCTTTCAATTAAAGTCCCAAAGAGAAGCCAAGAGGTGCCCGCTCTGTAGACCCATTTGCTTTTTCATCACTTTCTTAAACAGAGGCACCATGTAACATTTGTCTTACTTCGAAAGTTAGGTGAGTGTGTTTTGTTTGGCTTCTCTGAGAGCTTGAAGGTACAGAATTTGTATCCCGGACATAGTGTTCAATTTCACTTCCTCGTGCTGGGCCATGTCCCTGAGCATCTCCAGGTTCATTTTCTTACCAGTAGCTGGTCCAGCTAAGGAAGGGGGTTGCTTCTCCAAGGCTGCTCTCAAGGAGGCTCTGCCCAGCATGGGGTGACCCGGAAGTGCGGAGGGCACATGAGACATTGTTCCTCCATGGCCTTGTACAGAACGGCCAGGAAAGTTCCCAGATACTTTCCATGTACTTTCTTTGCCATGAAACTTCCGTTTCCCCTGTCAGTAAGAGCTCTTGACTACAGTGGTTCCAAAACCAGTGCTTCCCTTGACCAGCCAGAACCAAAACTGCCTCTCCTCCTAGAAGCCGTGACTCTGGACTTGGTCTGCTGTTTCCACTCATTTCTAGGAAACTAGGCTTCACCTTGATTGAAGGAGGTCCGAGTTGTCATATAATATCAGAAACGATTCAGTTACAAGTGATCTCACCTTTGTCATTTACAAAATGCCCTGTTATAAGACGCCATTGTTTTGGAGGTGATCCTCATAGGATGCTGTATGTATATTTCTCTGTAAGTAGCATCACATCCAATGTTTTGTTGTTCTTGTTTAGTCTCTTAAGTCACGTCTGACTCTTTGAGACTCCATGGACTGTAGCCTGCCAGGCTCCTCTGTCCATGGGGATTCACCAGGCAAGAATACTGGAATGTGTGGCCATTTCCTCCTCCAGGGGATCTTGCCAACCCCGGGATTGAATGCGTGTTCCCTGCATCTCAGGTAGATTCTTTACCGCTGAGCCGCCAGGGAAGCCCCAGGTGTTTAGTACTTTTTCCTCTCTGTCACTCTTAAAGGTCTTTCTGTGGCCTGTTCCTGCTTTGCCTGTGTCTGTTTTCACCGTTTGTAAAAGCCTTGGACAGACTGCTCCCACAGCAATGCTAAGACGCTTCATTGACCCGTTTTTAGGCATTTTGATGATAAAAGACATCTTACAAACGCCAGTCTTATTTTCACTATGATCACTTCTGTAGTGAGTTCATGAGAAAAGTACTCACCTCGGGGAAATAAAGTTCTTTACCAAAGACATGAGGCTCAGCCCTCCTGGTCCCCCTCTGAAGCCACTCTGCATCATTTTTAAGTGATACCTCCCTTTGTCAGGGATCTCCCTTTGGAATTGGGCCCTTGGGTTGTCTTATTTGTTGGTAATAGTGCACTTGGTCAGGCCCTTACAGGAGAAAGCTAAATGTAGGGTGGAAAAGAACATTTTTAACCACTAGAAACCAGAGGAACTGAGCACTCTAAACAGGGGCATTAACTCTGGTGCTCTGTGCCCTTTGAATTCTGCTCAGCGACCTTGGCAGCCCACCTCATGTCCACCAGGCGGGCCTCATGTTCAGAGTTCTTGCTAGTGAGACCCAGGGATGCCCCAGCTAGGTGATTGCAGTCCTTAATGTAGTGCCCACTTTTATGATTGAAATCAACACATGAGGAGAGCTGAGACTTCTGTTCTTTAGTGTTTTATTCCAAGTGCATCTCTTGCCTTCATTGTGCATGTACATTCTGAGGGTCGTATTATTGGGTTCTTTGTGAGTTTCAGCATTAGTAATGGCTGAGGCTGAAGGGCTTCAGACTCTTGTTGCTTGGCCATAATAAGTTTTTATAGCATTTCACTTTATCAGTTTATTCTAAACCTGATGCCGGGACTATCACAGGTGAAGGTTACCAGGTTTTTAAATTGAACTCTGATATTATCTTTGATGCAGTAAATACAGCTTTTTTTATTTTGCTATCTTCTGTGAATTTAAAGGACTCATTAATGTCTACCAAAGAAGGGGGGAATCGTTGGGTGGATGTGTGTTTGTCTATTCAGTGTGTGGGAATGCTGAAATGTAAAACTTTTCCTTGTCTCATATATTTACTAAAGACTGCCTTTAATCCCTTTCAGAAATTCATCTGCAGTTCTGTCCACCTTGACATTCCCTTTCTTCCATCCCCTTCTCATAAACCCGGAGAGGACAGGGACATCATTCAGAAAATAGAACTTGCCTCAGAGTTTTGCTTTTCCAGCTGATGCAACTCACCAGCCAACCTCCTTAGCCATTCTGGGCTCAGGCTTGAACCTCTTGGGCCCCAGGTATTTTGTTTGTTTTGTTATCCGAATGCTCTGCAAACATTGCTCTCGAGGGCCTGCAAATTGTGGGCATCGATAATGCCCCAAATGACAGGAAGGTTTTCTCCTGCGTGCCTGGCCTTCTGCCCTTCCCCCCACCCCCCTGCCCTGCACACAGTCTCCCCAGGCCCTCAGATGCCAGTGTCCCTGTGTGGACACACTTTTCTGGATGCTGGGTCAAGGAGCCTCATGTGTGGCTTTACAACCACAGGAAATAAGGTTTATTTGCCTTTCAAAGAGGAAAGGTAGATGAACCTGAGATCACGACCTAAAATACTGCATCCTCATGTCTGAAGTCTACCTACAGCAGCCTTAACTACAGTTGTTGAATGGCAGGCAGGGTTTGTGTAATAGTCCATTCTGGAAAATCTGGACTGTCAACCTTGCTGTTCCCACCCGCCTGACTCCTCAACCTTATCAACCCAACTACATCCATCACAACGTGATTAGAGATATTATGGGTACAACCTGGGAAAATCTTATGAAGATTCCCCAGGTTTCAGACGGCTTAGAATTCTCTCCCTTCTCTTAGTCTGCATGAAATCCAGGCCAGGAGCTGGGGCGGGATAAGTTCACTAGGGCCACTGCTCACAAATCTTCCAGACACAGGCACGCGGGGGACTGGGATCCTTCCAAAGACCTCCGGACGGGGGCTCTTGGAACGCCCCCTCCCTCCCGTGTGTCTCCCCAGTGGCCACCGCAGCACTCAGCTGGCTTTCTAGAGAGCTGAGTGCCAGCGCGGCCCTTGCAGTTCCAGGAAAAAGGGGCGCTGGAGGCACCCGCCCCTCCCACTCCCCTGCTCGTGTCCCTGTGGCGCGTGTTCTGCCGTCCTCTGAGCTTGCTCTTATCCCTGTTTTCTGGAGTCATGGGGCTTGAGGACTTGACCCAGAGCACACTCGGGGGCATCAGATCGGCCCAGAGCCTAAAGCTGTCGCTCCCACTCCAGGCTTCTTAGTCTCGTGTGCGTGTCTTCAGCCCTATCACCGGCCCTGAGCCTGCACCCATGCCCCCCGCCCACCTTCCTCCCAGCCAGCCTCAGCAAAAGGATGATG